AAAAAACAGTACTTTTAACTCATACTTAGTGCTCTGTGTTTGAAACTGAAGTGAGATTTATGAGCAAGCTCCCTCTATCTAAATGCATATACACCCATTTACATGATTTTACATAATATATGGGAACAGTTTGTTGGGTAATATACACAGGGATAAAACCAACCCTCTGTGCACTGTGAGTAGGGATCACTGCAGTGAGCTCTGCATAAACTCCTGTTCAGACAGGGCTACTTGGATCTTCTTGGGAAATAATGTCCAGAATTATATATATATATATATATATATATATACATTGAACTATAAATACCTTGAACTTGCTGACAGTAAGACTCACTGGAATCACTCTTGTTTATGCTGGTTGAAATTTTGGGACCCCATTAACACAAAAACGACCACAAATTTTGTGATAGAAAAATAGATAGAAATAGATAGATTTGTGATAGAAAAATCAAAGGAAATACCAAACCCTTATCTCTGATAAATCTTCTTTGCAATGGATACATGAGGTCTGTGCTCCTGCACCTCAAAGCTACAGACACATCTCAGGTGATCTGGGAGCAGGGTCTGGCAGCTCTGGACTTACAGAAATATTCCTCAAGGAATATTTGTCATGATGTCCCCTTCCAGAAAGTGTTACAGAGTTTTTCCCTCACTTTTCATTCCCTTTATTGAACCACATTTGTGTTTATAGCCCCATTTGCTTTCCCTGCCATGCTGTCTGTCACTTGTGTGGAATATGGGTTTTGCACACTTGCCAAATAGTTTTGTTGCTTGGCTGAGGCTTCTCTGGCAGCAGAATTTGCCTCTCTGCATAGTAATGGGCATGTTTGGCTAATGGGCCCTTTGTCTGGGGCCTCTTGTATATTCAGAGCTGTTTCTTTGTCACCAGCCTGACCCAGGCAGCAAATATTAAAAGGAATTGTAAATATGCCCTGTTCTCACTGGGATGCTGGCCGAAGCAAGAATCAGTTTCCTGGTTTAAACTGGTCCTCTGCTGCTCTGCAGCTTCCCAGCAGCTGTCCAGGCTCTCTGATTCTAGAACAGTTCTGCCTATCGCTGATTTTGATGCTTTTGGAGTCACCTTGCTCCGTGGTTTAATATTTAATTAACATTAACATTTAACATTGACATGGCCAGCTCTGATGGTGTGGTTTTGGGATGGCACAGCTGATAACGGGGTGTGTGCAGGGCTGGGCTGCTCAAACAGTTCAAGCAGGAATTTCTCCTTTCCCCTGTTTGCTGGGGACTGGCAGGTAAAACTTCTCCCTAATTTGTGCAATAAAGTGATGACAAAGGGAGTAGCAAGTCCAGCTGGTCACTGGAAAAGCCAGAAATTTCCATGGCCATGTGGACATGAGAAGTGTCTTCAGTGCTGGGGCTATTGGTCAGAAAGTGGCTTCATGGATTTTTTGGTGACTGTTTGTTTTTTTTCCATATCTGGAGTATAGATTTTCTTTTTTGTCCTATATCTGCTTTGTACTGTCAGTGTTTAATAAATTGTCTAAAGGTGGGGAGTCACGTTTTATTTCGGAATACTTGCAGAAATTGCTTGGTTCTGCCTGGAACAGCAGGTTTGGGTGGATAATGAGCCAATTTATTGGCAGGGCAGAAATCAATGGCACAAGTACACACAGCTTTTACCAGTTTAATTAGACTATCCACACTCCTTTTTAAACAGCCCGGTCAAAGCAGCACTTTGCAGAGACAAAAAAACCCTCATTTAAAAGGATAACGTTGTAGATCAAAACTTTTCCAAGGATAACGTTGTAGATCAAAACTTTTCCAAGGATAACGTTGTAAATCAAACTTTTCTATTGTTTGCGGTGAATCCTCTAAAAACAGAAGCCCCGAAGCTCGCCGAGCAGCCCCGCGGAATAATTGTGCCAGAGAAAACCTGCAAAAGGGGATGTTACAGCACCATCTAGTGCCTCTTCTCCCAGCAATATCGGCAATTTTTGAATTTTCCACTTCCTTCAAGGACGTAGGTGGGCACCAGGTGCTTAGACAACTTCTTTTCTCAACCAGTGTGAAGAGAAGGGAGCTGAGGGATGGAAAAGGAGCTTTGGGATTTCACACCGGGAAGATTTTGGCAGCAGAGCTGCTCTCAGTTTCTCTTATTCCAGCTCTCACCAGTCACTCAGCTTTCCTGCTGAGCATAGTCAGGAAGGGGATGCAGCAGCAGGAAAATGGGAAGAAAAGTTAAATAAGAAACCGGCCAGATGGCATCTTTTGGGCAGGCAGGGTTGTATTTTTTGGTAGAGAAATGATCTGCTCAGTGAATGAGTGACCAGGAGGAGGCTGGTGTTGGTTTGCAAATTCCTTGTGTTGAAAACTGCACCTGAAATCAGGGAACAAACACTCAGCCCTCGCTTTCCTCATCCTGAGTATGACCCAGGATGAAAACTAAATTAACACTAAATTAAATTCTAAATAGGGCTACATTTTAATATGCTTTACATTCCTGTCCCTTTGTTTCTTTTTCTGCTGGCAAGGTGATTTAATATCCTCTGCCTCCAAACGACTCAATGGTTAATCAAGAACAAGTTTGCAATTATTGCCAACCAGCCACTGGAGATGAATTTGGGGATGAAGCCCCTCTAGGAAACAAATTCCAGTGCTCCCAGTCTGAGAGCTTGTGCTGGGAGCAATTCAAGTGTGAGATGGACTCTTCAAAAGAAGCTTTTTGTGATAATAAATATCAATATTTATATGTTAAACGTGTTTTCTAGCAGGTTGAATTTAAACCCCTCAAAATTAATTATACCTTAAAGCATTTAGGAAACGTCCTGATGGTGACGTGGAACTTAACAAAAGTCACTTATCTCAAAAAAATCTTCACCTCAAATCCTCAGTGTCTTCACTACAGCCCTGTAGAAAAAGCTGGTGGAGAGTGATGTCTGTAAATTATAGTCAGAGTCTAAATTAGAGTTAATGCCCAATCTGGGGGCTGAATTTATATTTAAAGCTCTTGCTGGAGTTACAGTGCTCATGGACAGAGGTGTTAGAGTTATGGTGAAAAAGAGCTGCAACAGCATCCAAAACACTCCCAGAGTCTTCTGCTTATCATTTTATTATGATTATTATTGAATTTAGGGTTTCCTAAAAGAAAACCCAGCTCCTTGGGTCATGTGAATTTTTGGAGAATCCCAGAAGCCACTAAAAAATAAGATCTGTCCCTCAAGTGTGCAGAAACAAGCTTAAAAGTGTGACTCAAATATATCCCCAGCAATTTAGTAAAAAACCAACAGAAATCAAAATATTTTAGCATATCAAAAGAATTTGAAAAATATTTAGCATAATATTTCTTAATAAAATCCCAGGGTTTGGAGAAGGGGCTCATAATTTTTTAATTCTTTAATTGGCCAGCCTGATAATAAAAATATCTCTTTTTTTAAAATTATGGTAAATTATCAGATACAATACCCTGCAATTATGTGCATTACACTCAGACAATGTAGAAAAAGTTATGGAATCATAACTTAATCATTTAAGTGATTATTGTATTTTATAAATGCTTAATGTATCATCAGGGACATGTTCGTGCTCGTTTGGCAAATGTGGTATTGATTGTTCCTCTAAAGGCCCATTCAGGTCAGTATAGATAATGATTGTTTGGGAATTTTCCACCCACGATGGTAAGGAAATTACAGGCCTATTTGTCTTTTAAATTTGGTTCTCTAAACCACTTTAATTCTGAATTTAAAAAGTATAAAAATTAGTGTTTTGCTTGCTGGCTAATCATCGGTCTGTTCTGTCATTGATGCGGGGAGAATATTAGTGCTGAACTGAAATGGGAGATACTGAAGAGAAAAGCAGAAAGTGCAGAATTTTTCCCTGATAAAAAAAAAAGAAAAAAAGCCTTTTTAGGGAGAAAACAACAAACAGGGCTGAGATAGAGAAATTGTGAAATCCTCAGGAGCACCGTATGGGTTTAGTGATTTGTAACAAAGAATGCAATAAAAATTTCACCAATAAAACCCTAACATTTTAATCGAGAGAAACCCCAGGGCCACCATATGGATTTTTGAAGGGTTTTAAAAAGGGAAGGAAATGACAATAAATGATGAGACAGAGGGTTTGTGTGAGAGTTGGGCAGTGCAGAGGCAGCAGCATCGAACTTTTTGGGGTTCATCAGCCGGGTCTGCATCCCTGTGAACCATTTCTGGTGATGCCACCAAGCTCACATCAGCACAGGACTCTGCTGACAAGTCCCACGAGCACAGGATTGTCCCCAGACACGTCTGGAATATCCCCGGGGAGGACACTCCATCATCTCTGAGCATCTTTTCCAGCGCAGGGAAGTTTTTCCTCATGTCCCACGTGGAATTCCTGGACATCAGTTTGTGCCCCTTCCTCCTGTGCCATTTGGGCACCATCACGAGAAGCCCAGCTCCATCCTCTTGGCATTAATCAATTTAATAATTAAATTACTAAAATTTGTGTGATAAAATCCTCTTCCAGCCATCTCTTCTCGGGGTCGAAGAACTCAGCGTTCCCTCCCAGCAGAGATGCTCCAATGCCCTCGGCACCTCCCTGGCCTTTCGCTGCACCCTCTCCAAGTCTCTCTCGGGCTGATAGATTATTTTATATTGAATTTCTTTTCAAGCAATTCACACACAAAGTTCAACGCGCCGCGGATTTTATTTTTTTTTTATTTTTATTTCCACACCCAACCCCTCTTCCATGAGGCGCCGTGGGGACTCGCCGCAGGTGCCACCCGGGGCGGCTCTGCCCTTTGTCACCCACAGCCGTGTCCTGTGAGCAGAGCACGAACCGCTGTCCCCCGCCACCCCCGAGGGGAAAGGGCACAGGAACCACCGCCCCACGGTCCGTGTGAGCCCCGGGGCTGAGCACGGACCCTCGGGTTCGGTCCGCCCGCGGTTCCCGGCCCCGCTCCCGGCCCCGCTCCCGGCCCCGCTCCCGGCCCCGCTCCGGCTCCTCCTCCGCCCGCCTCCTGCCCCCGCCCCGCCGCCTTCCCAGGCTGCTCTCCGGGTAAACAGCGATGGCCGCCGAGGAGCGAGGCGGAGAGCCCCAGGATAACATGGGGAACCACCTCCAGCTAGTGCCCGGTGAGGGCCGGGCCGGGCCGGGGGCACCGGGGTACCGGGAGGGAGACGCCGGGCCGGGGCTCGGCGGGCGGGGCCGGGAGGGAAAGGGGAAAACAGAAAGGGAAAGAAAAGAAAGAAGGAAGCGGAGGCGGAGAGGAGAAGAAGAAGGAAAGAGAAAGCGAAGGGGAGGAGAGGCGGGGAAAGCCCCCGAGCGATGCGGGGAGCGCTGAGGGCCCGCGGAGCCGTGGGCGCTGCCGGCCGGCGAGAGCCGAGCCTTGGCCCGTGGGACCGCGGGCTCCTGCGGCCTCTGCTCCTGCGATCCTACGAATCCATGGAGGCCGTGGGTGTTGCACTGGGCCCGTGGGTGTTCCCTGGAGGCCGTGGGTGTTCCACTGGGCCCGTGGGTGTTCCCTGGAGGCCGTGGGTGTTGCAGTGGGCCCGTGGGTGCTCCAGTGGGGCCGTGGGTTTTCCATGGAAGCCGTGGGTGTGCTCTGCAGGAAGGGACAAGCCGTCACGGATCCTTGGGGCAGCTGATGGGGTGAAAGGCACGGTGGGGTTTCCACCAGAGTGGACAAAGCAGGCGCTTCTCTGTACAGTGAAACCCAAAGGCTGAGGAAAACTCTGTTCTAGGAAGTCTCGGCTCTGTTTTCCAGTGTAAACAAGCAGGGAAGCAGAGGTGCTCAGGACGGTGTGGACGGCAGTGCTGGATCCCATGTACAGCCCGGTTTATCTGTTATCTGTCACACACACACACCGGTGCAATTCCTCATCCAGGGAATCACGCATAATTATTGCATAATTATGGAGTTTTCTGTATATAGTGCCTCCACGCTGACAGGAGATCAAATGGTTTGGGAAGCAGCTTGTGCTTAAATGGAAAGAAGCATTATTGCAAGAGAGAAGGGAGCAGGAAATCCTGCCAGGAACCAGCATCATTTCCCATGGCAGGAAATTCTGTGACCTCTTCAGGCCTGTATGTTTTAAATAATAAGAAAGTATTTCCTGAATACTTTAGGAAATACAGCCTTAATATCACTGCAATACAAGCAATTTTTTCTGAATATTTGAGGAAATATAGCTTTAATATCACCTTAATAAGTTATTTCCTGAATATTTTAGGAAATACAGCCTCAATATAACCTTAATACGATGTATATATAACTTTGTCCCTTTTCCTTAAATGAAGTTCATATTTCCTCGTTTCTGCACAAAGGCATTGAGAGTGGGTTGGGTTGGGTTGTGTTAGTGAATCAACGTGAGGAAAATGTGATTTTTTGTTATGCAGGGGAGCCTTCAGCTCTCGCTTTTCCCTCCTTCTTCTGTTCTGGAGGTGCTGCTAATCCTGGAATTTAGAGATAAATAAAACCCAGTAGTTGGGGGGGGTGTAAAAAGCTTCATCTTGTTTTGCCAGCTGAGGGGGAGGAGGAGAGGGAAGGAGCCGGGGTTTGCTGTGTTTTGGGCCGCCTGGTGCTGCTGCAGTGAAATGAGTCATCGTCCCTCAGCCACCACCACCACACAGCAGCCACTGTGCGCTTTTGGCAACAGCCAGCAAAAGTTTGCAGGGCACAATTCTTTCCAATCAACTGCTGCTAATTCCTTCTGCGTTCAGAAAAACAAGTGGGACAGCGTCTCCCTGGTAAAACTGCTAATGATGGATGCAGCCGGATGGGAGCACAGGGAAAAATCAAAATTTTTTTTTTTTTTTATTCCCTCTCCCCCATCTTTGCAGTGATGCCCCAGAACCAAACAAAAACTTCCTGTTCTTCTCCTCCGTCAAACTAAGCAAAATAGTGGCTGTTTTGGACATCTTAAACATTTTGTAATTGTTCATGGTTAGGGTTGCCAATTAAATATAAGAAATTTCATATAGGTGTGGATTATTTTTAACAGTCATTAGGCAGATGGTGTGTCACTGCTGAAAGGACTGTAATTAGGTACAGTACCAAAGAGAGTCTGTAACCTCCTTTCCTGTCCTGCTGGATCATTTCTTGCTGAGATAAATGCAATATAGGATGGATCTGTAAGAGCAGGTTCTGTAAACTGTGAACTATTTATAAAAACATAAGTGAGGTGAAGCAGAAGTAAGAGCAGTGACTAAACATTTTGTGGGAGCATTTAACAAATGTGTCTGGAGGCCAAAGAGGGGGAAAAAAGGTTCTCTAAAATCAGCTTTTAATGTCTTCTTCAAGGCTCTCTTGTCCTCCTACTCTCAGAAATAGTAAAATTAGTGGTGCTCCCATTTCTGAAGGAAAATTCTTTGTTTCTGCAGCATCTTTCTTTTTTGAGATTTCCCTGCAGAGCCCTTTAGGATGAGAGAACCCCTCCACCTTTTACATTTTCAACTCTGGATTATTTTAAGAAGGTACTAATTGCAAAGGCAGGCAACTAGACAGACTATTGTAGAAATATATATTTTTCCATCTTGTAATAGCTTTCATGGTCTAAATGATGTTTTTCAGCACTGCTGGGATTATGCATTACCCAGTAGCTCTTGGTGTAAGAATCTTGGAGATTGGTTTATGCTAACATTTAGTTTAGACATAATATGGTGTATAAGTAATGTTTGAATAGGGTCTGTTAATGCAGTGACTGATAATTTAATTGTCCTCTTGCCTGAAAATTACTTTGGAATTGGCTGAGAAATGGGAAGGAAGCAGTAGTTTTAAAATACTATTTTATATCTAAAATCCCTTGGTGATTTGTTTCCTCAGGAGTTCCTTTGCTGGGTTTGTGTTTAGTGTACACACAGCAGAGGATGACAGCAATTAAATTGTCTAAAATACCAGCAGGAGTCTCTGCATGAATTCGGAATTTCCCATTGCTTCTTACTCACTTGCAGTTTGATTGTTGAGGTTTGTGCAGCCTCAGACACTTCACTCAGCATCCTGCAAGGAATGAATTTATCTGGATCCTGGTGTGCACACAGAAAAAACCTTTAGAGCTGAGATATGGAAGTACCACTGTAGTGCAAACCTGAACTGACAGCCTTTGTTTATTGTTTTCTTCCAAGGGAAGTTGTTCTTTAGCCTTTCAGAAATAAATTACCAGCTTTTGACCCTTTCTATAGAATGATGGTTTTGGTGTAACAGCAATAAAATTATTTTTCTCTGGTTTATTGCCCTGTGCAAGGCTGTAGCCTGGGAATATTGAATGCATTTCTCTGATTCTCAGTTTTTTTTCAGTATCTCAGTCTTTGCTGATTGACTTCTACTCAATATTCTGTATGTGCTTGTCAGTAGAGAGTGAGGAAGAGGATGACAATGAAATGGAAGTGGAAGACCAAGATGGTAAAGAAGCTGAGAAGCCAAACATCATTAATTTTGATACCAGTTTGCCCACATCACATATGGTATGTTTTTATGTGTTGTCCATTTAATATATCCTAATGGGATTTAATAGGTTTTGCATAGTTTTACTGTAATGTTCTTAAACCTCAAACTTCATTTTATTTTCACAGAATCATAAGATCATAAAATGGTTTGGGTTGGAAAAACCTTAAAGGGTACCGAGTGCCACCCCCTGGGCAGGGACACCTTCCACTATCCCAGGAAGCTCCAAGTCCCAATGTCCAGAGCCTGGCCTTGGACTTTGTGGTTCCAGGGGCAGCCCCAGCTGCTCTGGGCACACTGTGCCACTCCCAGGGAGGAATTCCTTCCCAAAATCCATCCAGCCCTGCCCTCTGGCAGTGTGGGAAGCCATTCCCTGTGTTCTGGCACTCCATGTCTTGGAAAGAGTCTGTGTCCATCTTTCCTGTAGCTCCTTCAGATACTGGAATTCAGTCACCCTGGAGCCTTCTCCAGGCTGAACAGCCCCACCTGTCCCAGCCCTTCCTGGCAGCAGAGCAGCTCCATGGTGCTCCCCGTGGTGTCCATGTCCTCCCCTGTGGAGGGAGCAGAAAACATTCATAAAGAAGAAAGTTTCCCTGCATCCTCAGAACAAGCTCCTTGGAAAACCATGGATTAGAGATAAGAAATGGCTTGTGAAGTGACAAATACAAAAAGGAATCCAGCTTCCCCCCCTTGGTAGACCCTCTTCTCTATCTTCAATATTAGTGATTCATTCTCTTTTAGTATCCATAGGCCAGCTTTGAATGTAAAATCCCTCAGGGATTGGTTACAAAGTAGAATTCCCTTGGTAATTGGTACAAATTGTAAAACCCTCAGAAGATATAAACCCCCTGTAAAACAACAGCCGTGGGTATGTGCAGACAGGAAGCCTTCATAGAATAAACCATGGATTTGTGCCTCTCTGCATGTGCTGGTCTCTGTACCCTGCTGGTCTGAGAGCTCCCCACGAGCCCAAATTCCATCTGGGCAAGGCTGGGGACCGTGCTCCATCACTGAGGGCTGCAGGAGCAGCCTCGGGGATCCCAAAGAGACCCCAAAAACCCCCAACTAGCGACACTCCCTGACCTCCCACCCCTTCCTGAGTGTCCCTGCTTGCCCTTGGCAGTACCTGGGCTCGGACATGGAGGAGTTCCACGGCAGGACGGTGCACGATGACGACAGCTGCCAGGTGATCCCCGTGCTGCCCCGGGTGATGGTGATGCTGATCCCCGGCCAGACGCTGCCGCTGCAGCTCTTCCGCCCCCAAGAGGTTAGCATGGTGCGGAATTTAATTCAGAAAGACAGAACCTTTGCTGTCCTTGCATACAGGTAAAAGCCACGGGCGGGTTGCTGGTGTGTGCAGCATGTTTTTAGCACAGTTTCTGTGGGTACTAAAGCAAAAGCAGATGGTTGCATCAGTTCTGTGCTCGAGAACGAGCTGAAATTGTTGAACAGAAATTGTCTTTCAATATGTAATGGCAGTGTAGGTGCTTGACAGCATCACGTGTTTGTGTGGAGAGACAGCAAGTGCTGATCTGCTTCCTTGTTTGAGCATCCTCTTCATTTCAGTAACTGTTTGTTCCATCTTGTTAAAGAATAAGCCTTGACCTGAAATGTAAAAGTCACATTCTTGTTTTGAGAGCTGTATTGTTGATTGTTTCGTGTGTGAATTAACAAGCACTGGCAAATGTTTCACAGTAGAGTTGAGAGACAGGAGGTGATAGAAAAATGCAGAAGAGAGAAGCTGATCAGTGCCAGAAGTTGGGAATGTTCCTCCCTCTTCCCCCTGCAATTTACTATGGATTAATTGTGTGGGAGGTGGGAACAGTTCCTGTTATAGAATCAATCCAAAGAATGTTGGTGATTCCAGTGTCTGCATTTGAAATGCTGACACACTGGTGATCCCAGAATGTCACGTCCAGACCCTAAAATAAAACCAAGTCACCTGGCAAAAAAATCCCAACCAAAACAATAGAAGTTGCTTTATAATGGAAAAATTATTATTGTGATTAGTTAAATGTATTTCACCAAAAATTGCTTTTTTGATCAGGTCAGTCATGTACAGTCAGTGCAGGCAGACTGGAGTCTGAGTAAGCAGTGTCGTTTGGAGTGGGGGTAATTAATTTAATTCATCTTTAATTCTGTTACTTTTAGTAATGCACATGAGAGGGAAGCACATTTTGGAACGACAGCAGAAATCTATGCCTACAGAGAAGAGCAGGAATATGGAGTTGAAACAGTCAAGGTGAAAGCAATAGGAAGACAGAGGTTCAAGGTGCTTGAAATACGAACACAATCAGATGGGTAAGAAAAGAATGCAGTTAATTCTGTGCTCAAGTCAACTTTGATAGGAGTATTCTCTTCTTTTCTATATTCCAGTTTGATAGCTGGGATATTTAGAGGCTCTCCTGACTAGTTTTAACATATTATGTAATTAATGCTTTTTTCCATTTCGAAAAGTGGTCCAGATCCTGAACATGCAGTAAGAATATGCTGAGTGTTCCCTCATTTTCAAATCCTTGGCATCGTGCCCTGCACCATGGCAGTGGCACTGGCCACAGGTCCAGGCTCCAGCACTGATCTGGGAGCATGTGACAATTCCTAGCACAATTGCTGGAGCTTCTGTCGTATTTTCTGCAAGGCTTGTGAAAAATTACTCCAGATCTGTAAATCTAGAGCTGGCATTGCTTTGGAAAGAGGCCTGGGAGCAGCATTTCTGTGGCTTTGTGACCTGCAGCTGAAGAAATGAATGCCTTTGAATGAATGCCTTTGCTATTTGCTCTCTAACATTTGGTTCCAAATAACAAATTCTGAATGTTACAGCTTAGGAAAAGCCCTGCTTGGACACATGGTGGCAGTGCTTGGACAACTGCAGCAGCTTTGTTACTGGGAATTCACTGTCCAGAGCTCCTTAGCAAGAAGAACATTTCCATAATTCTTGGTGTCTCTGATTCCTGAGTACTTTTGGCACAACATAATCTTATAATTTATTGTAAGTTACCAGTTCAGTGCTGTCCCTGTGAGAGAATTAGGAATTTGTAATGACACAGTATTTCAGGATTTATGCTGTATAATCCTGATAAAACATGAAGTCTTTCCTGCTGGACAGCATTTTTAGTAGCCACATAACATATGCTGAGGTCTTTGTGGAAGAGGTGACCTTTGATGCTGGCATATTAAAATCTGATCAGAGTCTGTATCCTATTTCTGCTGATTCTGACCTCGAGCTGAGCACAGAAGCTTTTGTGGTTTGAAGATAGCAAAGTGCATTTCAGCTAAACCGAGGCATTGAGATGGAAGAGCTGTTTTTTTTATGCCAAAAGTAACTTGAGGAGACAAAAAATCTAAATCTATAGTGCTGAGATTGTGAAACATTCAGCTGTGTTGTCCCTGCCAATCTGTCTGTATTTCTGTCCACCACAACAGATCTGTAGTACTCTAAAATAAAAAGGTTCAGATCCATTTTTTAAATGCGTGTATTTGAAAAAAAAGTTTTAAAAAAATTAAGTGTACACCTCATGTTTTTGTTTGGTTTCTCAGAATCCAGCAGGCCAAAGTTCAGATCCTGCCTGAACGAGTGCTGCCCCCCACCATGTCAGCAGTGCAGCTGCAGTCCCTCAGCAGGTGCCATGTCATTCCCTCTTCCAAACCCTCCTGGCAGGACAGAGCCATCAGGCAGTGGTGGCAAAAGTACCAGAAGGTGAGAAGTTATTCTACAGCTTTGCTTCTTTTGCTTTTGTATTTTTAATTTCTGATGGTGTCTCGAGAGTCAATATCCAATTCCATCTGTAGAGGAGGAGGCACAACAGGGAAGGCAGATTCCGAGTTCCTGCTTTTTTATGGAATCACACAATTCCAAGTAAGGTTTGGTCCTTAAAGCCCCTCCATCCCAATGGAAGGTGTCTCTACACCTTCCACTATCCCAGGTGTCTCCAAGTCCTGTCCAGCCTATCCTGGGACACTTCCAGGGAAGAGGAATCCACAGCCTCTCTGGGACTGTAATAAATACAGTTTATATCTGGATTTATTATTTATTCCATTGTTTTGGTCACTGACACAGAGAAGTTACCTTGAAATCTGTCTCTGTAGAGATCTTTGGAACTACAGAAATTAATACAGAGTCCTGGTAACTTGACTCATGTTTGGATTTGCTTTTTTCTTCAATGGTTTTGAACTCTTGTACTCTCAAAATCAAATAAAAACCTCCATTGATAACAAAGAGCTCTTGATTCTCAAGAGTTCCTGCCCAAGTTCATGTGAGTTAATGAGCCCAGGAACACTGGGCTGTGAAGTGGGAATCCCTTTCCAAGGCTGGTTCTGTCAGGTGAGGCTGAAATGAAAATCCTGGGAAGAAGATCCAGAGCAGGGTAATTGTCCTTTGACCTCCATCTCTCCACTGGTGTAATTTGTAAATGAGGAGAGTTGCCCTCAAGAGGGGGATTAAAATTGAATTTGTACACATTTGCAGTGCAATATGAGCTCCTCTTTTGAAAAGCAATGTAGTTATGTTGTGTGCTGCTTTTATTAACTAAAGCTCTAAATTTCTGTGTTCAGAAATCACTGGAGAAAATTGGTTAATTAAGCAAATGACATTACACTGGTGGAAGTTTGGTGGTTGCAGGGACAGCTGGTGAAGATTTAGGAACAGATGCACTGTTAATAGCACTTAAATTTTGAACTGTCTCCATTTCAGATAGATACCCTTTTGAAAGACATAAGTTTTTATTACTGAACATCTGAAATACCTCTAATGCAGAGACAGGTTTTGTGACAAAATCCAGGTATTGTCCTGTTCAGAAGGCTTAGCCCTCAGTGCATCTGAAAATGGGTTTGGAAGCTTCAAAGTGAAGTGCTGGTCTTGATGGGGATAATTTTTTATATCTTTAAATAATCAGGTCTGTCTCCCTGTTTCAGTTGTTAAAAAAAAAAAAAAAAATTGTCCCAAAAATCTGCCTTTGTTAAAGAATAAATATTTGTGGGTTGGTTTCAGAGGAAGTTCCACTGTGCAAGTTTGACATCTTGGCCCCCCTGGCTCTACTCTCTCTATGATGCTGTAAGTTCACCTTTAAATCAAAGAACCTGCAGTGGGCTTTATAGTTGTAATAACTAAGTATGGGATAATATAAAAGCTTAAATTTTGTTGGCTCATAATTTCCATTTTAAAGCATTTTATATTCAATGTGATGTGAAAAGATCAGGAAGGCCTTGCCCCTCTGTGATTGTTCCCTCCTTCTTAGAGCAAATGTCTGGATAGCAGAGATTCTGTTCCTTCTGTGCTGTCTCAGAACAAAACCAGTTAAAATATGTAGGTACAAAGTGATTCTTTAATTATTCTTCAATTAAAAGCTACTGTCCACTTAGGGAAAAGAGCTTACTCTACATTTTGCTTCCCTTTTGTTTTTTGGTTTTTTTTTTTCCTAAGAAGCAAACAGCAATACCTATGTATTTAAATTAGGCTTTTCTTCTAACAAAAGGAAACCTTGATGGAAAGAGTCAAGAGGCAGCTCCACGAGTGGGATGAAAACCTCAAAGATGAATCTCTTCCATCAAACCCAGTAGGTACGAGATTTTATGAACCCACATTCTAATTTATTTTTTCTTTTAATTTAAGACACCACAGCTTAGATAATTACCTGTAGTAAATAGAAAGAGTTGGATTATTTCTCTGTTAATTCTAACAGACCTGCTGCTTTCTCATTTCTAGATTTTTCTTACAGAGTTGCTGCCTGCCTGCCCATTGATGATGCTTTACGTATCCAGTTGCTCAAAATAGGCAGTGCTGTGCAGAGGCTCCGCTGTGAGCTGGATATCATGAACAAAGTGAGTTATTCTTCTTTAATGGCCATCAAATTGCCAAAAAAAAAAAAAAAAAAGGGGTGGCTGTTAACAATCTCTTCCAGAAATGATGGAATTTCCAGATAATCTTTCCAGAGGATGAATTGGAGCGTTGTGTTCTTTAATCAAAAGTTTGCTCAAAAGGAAAATGATCTCTCAGTGCTGGATTGTGTTTGGCAGCAAGCAAGAAGCAGATAATAAAATATAATAATAACATAACATAAACATAATATTTGCTTTTGTTAGAAGTATTTCGGTGTGGCACAGCACTTTTTTAGCCAAGAGATGGTGCTAGAAGTCCAGTGTTGTTAACAACCATCACAGCCCCACACTGACACCACAATTAAATATCATTTTACCATGGAAACCTGTGGATTTTGTAGCAAAATCTTCATAGTATTGAGCATAAATCTAAAGATTGGATTAAACAGTTTTTTTTATAAAAGACACATTTATTTCTTAGGCAGTTCCTTGTTAAGTTGTTCAAAAACTTGTTTCCCTTCCCTTCTTTCCATTGCCATGGGCTTGTCATGTTCTAAATGTTTTATTTATGTGTAATACACTTCTGTATAATAATTGATATTTTCTGAATAACTGTGTTTGTCTAATGGGTACAGAGCAGTGGAAACTTTGCCTGTTTGTCTAGAAAGTACTGAGTACTGTCATTAAATTCTTGCCTGTTTCTGGGGAAAAGTGACCTGAGGGTCATTTTAATAGTGATCCTCTTTCCAAAGCTCATGCACCAGAAATTTAAAGAAAGGAGACACAAAACCTCTCTTCCAAATTCTGAGGAAGAAATGGGCAGGTTTTTGCCTGAGGCTGTAATCACACTAAATTTCACTTTTCTTTTCTGAGTTGAAGCTCTGAATACACCCTGATACTCAAGTGCTACTGACAGCTGTTCATGTTCAGTAATTATATATTTTCCATAAATTCCAAAGAGACAGGAAAACTTAAATTGCCCTCATAAATTCAAGTTAAAAGTTGCTTTTTAGCCTAAGCCCAAAAGGTGTTTTCATCATCATCATTTGATATTTTGGTCTGTAAGTGTGTAACTGTTCTGTGTTAGTGTGTCAGAATGGGGAGTGCATTATGGTTTTTTACAGTTATTTTATTTCAAAATCCTGTGGCTCATTTTTGGGGGAATTTCACATCATTACCCTTAAAAAGAAGTACAAGTAATTTATGTCCTGAAAATGAATGGGAGTGTTCTGCTGAGCTGATTTAAATGCTGCTTTTCTGGGCAGTGTCAGTGATGAATTGTTTAGTTCTACTTTGTAGGAATTGTAGAAGATGAATTAATCTGTTATAATCTCCAGGAGACAGATCAATATGTTTTACCTATTTTTCTGAGGAAATTGAACCCATTGATCTACAGTACCCTCAAATTTAAGAAAGACTTAATGATTGCATTTGTCTCATCTGCCTTTTCTGTGCTATATTGCAGAAGAGCAAAGGTTGTTTTTTCTAAATTAGCCTTTAGAGACCTTAAAAGGTTGGCTCATTTATTATCTGTGTGGAGTCAGATCCAATTCTATGTGTGTGGATCTTTTTGTGAAGGGATGATAGGAAAATTGTTACGTCTTTTAGATAATAATTAATGTTTAAATAAATAAAATGCATAGAAAAATATATCCCATATCAGTGACTGCTGCTCAGATGAACAAAGCAATTGGTCCAAAGTCTGTTCTGATGGAAAGGGAGAGCCATTTTTTATTATTTATTATTTTTTATCATTTCCCTCTGCTGACATTCATCTGGAAATTCATGAAATTATCTTCTTTGTTTCTCTTTCCCAGTGTACATCTCTCTGTTGTAAGCAATGCCAAGACACAGAAATAACTACCAAGAATGAAATATTCAGGTGAGTTTATTACTCTTCATCCTGGCCAGCTCCTTGGTCACAAACACGGGCACAGCAAAGCAGATTAAACTGGGTTAAGTCTTAAAACTGCTGGGTTTGCCATGGCTCCAATAAAATGTAAGTAAATATTTATAGAGAGTTTATATTTGAGCTTTTTTAATGAAAAGTTAGGAAATCTCAGCATTTCCAGGTATATTGGAACAGAAATTGGTGTTGTGTCACACTTCCAGGACATTGCAGTGAACAATTTGAAATCTAATTGTGTCACATAAAGACTTTTTCATCATCCTGCTATTTCTGAATAAAATTTCTGATCCCCTAAATTTTATTTATTTATCAACAGGCCACAAGAGCAAATTAAAATGCACTAATTAGGGGATATAAAGAGGCTCCCAGGATGCTGGCATGCAGGGAAGGTTCCTATTTAAACCATCCCATGTTGGGATCCATTTTTTGTTTTTAAGAATCTAAAGTTATTGCTGATAACTGACCCCATTCTCTCTTTGCCCTGGACAATATCTGCCATGTTTTTACATTTCCCAAATAATTGCTGCTTCTGTCAGCCTTGTCACTGCTTCTCATCTTGATTAACTCCCATCAGCCCCATCCCCTCTGATAAAGGCAATTTTCAGAGATGGTTTGGGTGAACAAAAACTCCCCACAGTTTTTTTTCTTTATCAGTGTGATAAGGAGCTGATGGGGTAATTAAAAGCCATTTCTTATCTTCTAATCAAATAATGGATTGCAGACACCACAATTCCTGCTGTGTCAATATGATGAACTTGTAACAGAAGATGCTGAGAAGTTGGTGCAATAAATGAACATTCTTGCTTACTTTTAAAGTTACATTTTCCTTGTTTTTCTTGAAACTTCCTGTTTAAAGCAATACCAGGATGAATCTATTGTGTACTTCTCTGCAATTCTAAGCCAATTTGAGCAATGATATTTTAAATTAGCATCTATTTTCTTTCCATTTTTAATATTTTTTCTCCCCTACCAGAAGTGTTTTGTTTTTTTTTTTCTCTCCTCTGTTTACATTTGCCACCCTTTGGGGCTGTTTTTTTGTTCTGGTGTTTTTTTTTTTTATTTTTTTTATTTTTCCTTGCTCTCTGACAAAATTCCTTGTGTGTTGTAGCTTATCCTTGTGTGGGCCCATGGCAGCCTATGTGAATCCCCATGGATACATCCATGAAACCCTCACTGTATATAAAGCCTCCAACCTGAGTCTCAATGGACGCCCCTCCACAGAGCACAGCTGGTTCCCTGGGTAAGGGCAGCACCATTTTATTACAAAATCACCTTAAATTGGCTATTTATGGGAGGGTGGAATAGTAAAATAGTGAGGTTTTTAGGCACATCTCATCATTTTGCTCGTGTAAAAAATAAGGAAGTGAATGAAGATTTATTCAAAATGCAGAATAAAATGGAAAAATCACATAAAATATTGCAGAGTTTAATATTTTTTTTAATGGGGAGATACTGTGATTTTAAAACATGGTTTAGAATCTAAACTTTTTAAACCAAGTTGTCTGGAAATTTCTTTGTTTAAAGTGCAACTGTTTTCAGAATTGTTTCCACACAGCTTTAGTGCAAATGAAAACCAGAAGACATAAATGCATGTAGTCTACTGAAATAGATTTTTATATCTAAAACCTGAATAAATGTTACATGAAATTAAAAACTAATAACATTTGTATTGATCTGATTATCTTTGATTTTATTTTAATAGAAAATGATTAATAATGAGTCTGCCTCTCAGAGACAGTAACAGAATTAAATGTTTTGATGTAAAAGTTGGCCTAATAATCATAACAGGTCTTGCATCCAGGATTTTTTTTTCTGGAATATCACACAGAACTGAGCAATGACTTGCAGGATGTCTGATATTTCTGTCACAAGTTTTAACTTTTCCCTGAAGAAAATTTGAGACTTTTAATATCTGGAGTTAATATTGCTCATCCTTTTGTGTTTTCTCAGCTCTTTTATGATGGTTTTGAAATATTCATGTTCTACCTCATAAAACTGTTTGAGAAAAGCTCTGCTGCTGTGGGAAGTGCAGCAGTCCCTGGTATTTGAGGAGCAGGGTAAAAATCACTTCCATTCCCATAAAATAATTTACTCTGAGCAGTTTTCTGAGCCTTCTTTAGGGCTCTCAGTATTTCTCACTGCAGGAACCTGGGACAATTAAAAGCTTTGGTTGCTTCCTCTATTTGAAGAGGCAAGAGAGAGCTTTGAGGATGGGATGTTTGTGGGGTTTTTTGCTTTATTTTTTGAAGCTCTGCAGGTTTTTAGATGGGAGCTGAGCACTGGATTCCTGAGGATTGGTACCTGAATCCAGCTGGGAATTGGTTTCCAAATTTTCCCTTTTTAATGTTAATTAACATTAATAGTTTGTGTCACACCTTAAGTTGAAGATACTAAAAAATACAGTTTGGGATTGTTACCCAAATCCATCCTGACATTCTTACCCAAATCTAGTTTGGGGGATTGTCACCCAATTCCAGTTTGGGGGATTGTCACCCAAACTCAGTCTGGGGATTGTTTCCCAGTTTCTCTTTGGGACTGTCCCCCAGACCCCGTTAGGGGTTTGTTGTGTGCCGAATCATTTCCCAGAGGCCTTTTCCTTCACCAAGGCTTTGCTGTGCTTGCCAGGTACGCCTGGACCATCGCCCAGTGCAGGATCTGTGGGAGCCACATGGGCTGGAAGTTCACGGCCACCAGGAAGGAGCTGTCCCCTCCCAAGTTCTGGGGGCTGACGCGCTCGGCGCTGCTGCCGCGCATTCCCGACGGCGACGGCGACAGCGAGGACTCGGAGCGTGGCCGCTCGCCCCTGCTGTGCCTGTGACACCCCAGGGCCCTGCCCCGAGCTGCTTCCTCAGCCCAGGAACCCCAGGAACCTCTCCCAGCCCCGGGGCACCGGGCTCAGCCAGCTCCCTGGGCTGGCCTGGGGACACCGGGAGTGAAGATCCACGCGGGACACCGCGAAATCTGTGATCCCAGTGGATACAGTTTGAGACTGGACTTGTGTAATTCCCATTTGCAGTGAAGGAAGGGGGATGGAAACTCAAATGAAACTAAAATCCCGCTAAGCAGAGTCTGATTGATGCAATATTCCCGGGATGGTAGATAGCACGTAGCTGCTGTGGAGTGTTTGTTTGCCATAATACACTGACCCGTGGTGTGCTGAGAATCCCTGTTCCTGACCTGAGGTCCTTCAGGTTTGCTGCTTGTGCTGTTTCTCTGCTTCTTGCTGAATAACCATGGAAGAGAGAAGCAGCCTGAGAGTTTCTGAGTGTTGGAATGTGCAAAAGCTGGAATTGCAGCTGCCTCCCAGCATGGAAGCCGTGGGGAAGTGTCTCTTCCTTACAAGTTGTCTCATCTGTTTTGTCCGTTTGACTTTAGAAGTCTTAAATTTTAAACTGTTGATAGGAAGTGCACAGGTCAGTCCCAGAGGGTAAAAACAGCATTGTCATGTTCTGTTCAGTGTGCTTCAATTACTTCCCCAAATTATTGCTGGTTCATTTACCAGTGGAGATGTCCAGGGGTTTGGGAAGGACTCTAAAATACCCCACTGAGGTAATTTTTAAGTACTACTTGTTGTGACAAAGGGAAGGAAAAATCTCTGATAATTGTTTTAACTTTCAGATCATAAAGTAAAATTTCACATTATCAGGTTATAAAGAGCAAAAATATCAGAATAAAACAGAAATAAAGGCAGTGATTCTTTTGTGGGGAGGTTTCTTGGTAGATCTTTGGTTTGGTTTTTATTTTGTCTGTGCTCCACAAATTGGGTGCCAAACCTGGGGCAGCTTTTCCCACTGATTTATTGTTTTTTTTTTTTTTCCCTCTCAGAATGCACTTTGGTGATGGCAATGGAGATTTTTTTCAGCACTTGTGCACATAAACACTTGTTTTTCTTGTGAGCTTTTATCATTCACTCTTAATTTTGTCACAGTGATGTAAAAGTAGTCAGGTTTAAGACGTGAGCCAGTGGTTGCTTGTTCTGTGTCAGGCTCCAGGCAGGTGCAGCAAGGACAGATGAGCTGAGGGCCAAGGCACACCAGGAGCTGATTCCTGATTCCCATGGCACTCTGGAACCTCCAGCTGGAAAAACTCCCCAAACCACGGCCTTGCTGCTGGGTATTTGTCATGCCAGGTATGTAGAGATTAATTGTGTAACTCAGGTTTAGTTCTTTGAAACTTTTCTACCTCTGTGCAGCTTCTGTTCTTCTTAGACACCTTTAATTCCATGTGCAGTGCCCTGACTTGGCAGAGAACTGTGAAAAGCAATATTTGGGATGTGGCTCTGAACAAACAGAGGGTGCTGATAGCTCATGTTCATCCAGAATAAAAATCTGGACGTTGGTAATGATTCATTAGAAGCTTGGAAAGCCAAGCACTGGTGTGAGAGGGAGGCTCTGAATGCTCTGTGTTTGTGAATCCACTGGACCCAGGCTTGGCTTTCCCCCAGCCCTGCACACCTGGGCTCTATATTTGGCTTCTTTTGTTACTTTTCCCCTCCAGGTCCCTGCTGTGTGTTGTTCCTGTGACCCTCAGTGGGGTTGGTGGTGGCTCCCAGCACCTTCTGCTGCCTTGCTGGGGACATTCACTGGGGAAGGGAATTTCCAAAGGATTCTCTCAGCTGTCACTGAACTTCTGAAGGTTCAGTTCTTTGGGGTTTTGGCTGAGTCTTTTGGATTCTCAATTAACAATGGCAATGATTGAATCCAGAATAAGCATATTTTTGGTGTTTAGTGTATATAGTCAATTATATGCTATAATTGAGGTAAGTCAGGAGTAAATTAACACTTACTAATTTTGACTGTTGATGATGCTGTTCCATGTGCTTAACCTGTGTGGTGTTTGCTGTATTGGAGTCCATGACACTTCCCAGGTTGAATGCAGTCCTTACAGGGAGGCATCAGAGTATCCAGCACTCCAGGCTGTGGAGTTGGGGATGGTTCCTTACACTGGTTCATATTTTCCATGCTTTTTTCTCTGTTTTGAAGAGAAAACCACTGCTGGGAATTAGGGAAAATTTGGAACATCAGTATGGAAAAATAAAGACAAAACTGCTTAGGAGACCTAATCAAAGGAAACAGATTTTATGAATATTTACTACATTTACCCCATTGATTGGCTGAGTAGCTTCATGCAGGAATTAATTAATCCAATGGGCAGGACTGAGGATCACAGGATTTACAGCACAGACTTGCTCATTTTCAAGCATCATTGCAGCATCACCAACACCCCCAGTCAAAGCCTGTAACTTTGCAAGTTTTCATTTATTTTAGTTTCATTTTAACAAATAGGTAGAACCTCTTGTACACTGGGTCTGAAACATTTCAGATACTCTTTTGGTTTTTATTAATGCTGTTTTTGGATGTGCTGCAGTTCATTTCTTCCTCTCTCTGTCACCTTTAATTGCTCTGCAAACTGCTCCAGGGGTAGCCCAGTCTCTGCTTTAACTCTTCCTTCTCTCTGCCTTTTGGGACAACTTTTCTGACAAATCTTGTGGCTTGCAAATATTTGCAAAGAATAAAATTCAATTTGTTTCAAAACTCACCTGGTTTTGCTGATTGTTGGGGTTGGAGAAGGAAATGTTTGGTTTTATGATATGTTTTAAACAGGGTGGCTGCAAAAAGTAAAAGTTTCACTTCCAAGTCTGTGCTGGCTCAACTGGCCCAGGACAGAGAAGGTCAGGAGTAACAGGGGAGAGAGGGGGGGTTGTTAAACCCATTGTGAGTATCATTTTATTAGTCAAGTAATCTATTGGAAAACTTTACCATGTGTGCATCAAACTTGTTCATGTCTTCCCTCCCCCTTTGCTATTTCAATAGCCCATACTTTAGAAAGGAGTGTTCATTTAAACCCAGCCATTTTTCCAGATCCCAATGGCACTGCTTGCCTAAAATATATGAATATTTTTTATTTCATGCCTTTCATTTTCCTAGGGGTTAATTTTAGTGGAAGATAACCAGAGATACTCAATAAACCAATGGGAAACCTCAACCCTTTCAAGAGGTGTTGGAACACAGGGGCTCCCTGTGCTGAATTCCAAGCAGGACTGTTCATGGAGGTGCTTGTGGAATAATCTGGTTTTGCTGTTTTTTGTGATTCCCTGGGGATTTGTAGCAGGATCCTCTGTGTTATCAGTGAGGGATGCAGGAATTGGGGTCCCCCCTGCTTTTAGTGACCAACTTGGCCAAATAATCTCCAATTAAACCCATCAATTTCTGCTTACCAATAATTAAGCTGGCTTTGAAATGACTGATTTAACAATGCACTCTACAGCATGCAACTCTCTATAGTGTGTAGTAAATAATTCTGATTAAACTCTTTTCAGGCTAATCATTACCAACATCAATTTAAATACATCATTCCTTGCTGTTCATAGGCATGATTTGGGTTGTCATCCTTAATCCTGGGGGACAAAGTTGTGCAAAGGTTCCCCTGACAGCTGAACAATCCTTTAGACAAAAGGCAGTGATGAAATCTGGGAGCAGGATTGGATCCAGGCTGGAAAACAGCTGGAAATTGAAGCTCAGCAGTCATGGGAAGAGCTCTCTGCTAAACTTTGTCCAAAGTATCCATTTGGTCCATGCCAAGATCAAAAATTTCAAGTTTTTGTCCTTAAAAATCCTCTCTCCGAGGGGAGTTGGACCCTGTCTGCAATTTTGGGTAAAAGTTAAGAGTTAATATTTTACCACCTCCACAGCCATTGCCCTAAAGCTGATTTGCACTTTGGTGAAATCTTTAAAGGACTGAATTTTGTCACTCTCCTTCCCAAGATTTCAGTAGTTCCAGAAATGATACAAAGGAGGCTTCAATTTAATCACCTCATTAAATTAAGCACCATCGTGTTCTTGGGAGATTTCCTTCCTAACAAACAGCACTTTCCCTCTTCCCTTGCTGGCTCCCACAAATTCCCAGGCACCTTCAAGATAACTTATTTAAGGGCCCAGACATCCCAGGAAAATCAAAGGCAGCTGGGAAGTTGTGTGAAAGCCCAAAATACTGATTTTTTTTCCAGCATTGCTCCAGTGTTGCCATCTAGTGTTGCAAAATGATATCCAAGGAAAATGAAATCCAAAGGAGTTTATTCATTACCATGGTTCATGGTAGGAAAACTTCAACCTGCAACAAGATTTATACACACAAGAGCTGCTCTCAGATTTTTTAACAGCACACCAAAAACCCCAGGCATAGGAAGACATTCATAAAGACCAGGAACAACTGTGCTCCAAATCCCCAAATTCCCAAAGCAAGGAGCTGGATCTTCCCTTGTTAATGTTAATTAACATTAATCGTTTGTCTCACACCTGAAGTTGAAAATCCAATGTAGAACCTTCACCAGCTTGCTGTAGATTTAATTAGTCAGTGATAAGTTACTGAAAATTCCTGATACTCACTCAGCCAAGTCATCCTTTTAACCTAAAAGTGATTCTGGAATTCAGGAAAATAAAACCAGCCTGGTTTTCCATGGCAAGGCAGTTGGGAACTGCTGGAGTGAGTATTTCCATCTCTTACCCAGCTTTAAGTACAAAAAGAGTTAAGGTAGAGCCCATTATTTCCACACAATCTCCTAGGCACATAAAAACCTCTCCATGATTTTTAATTTGCATCCAGAGGATACAAACAACCTTTTGTGGGGAATTCTGGGATTTTTTTTTTTTTGGATATAGAAAGTCAGAAGGAGAAAAATCTTGCCATCACCTCTCATGCCCTAAGTCATGATAAAACAGTAAATATTTATCAAGAGAGGTTGAGAAGGTGCAATTTGGCAAACAGTGTTTGACATTATTACAAAATGAAACCTGTCCTTGCAGAAGTCAGGAATTAGTAATGAGAACTGAAATGTGTGAGAGGCTCAGTTCCACTCGGATCAGGGCACAATCAGTTCTGTTATTATTCACTTTACAGCTTCTTCAGGCAGCTCAGCAGCTCCTCTTTATCCATGTGGTATCCACTCTTTTTCCACTCATCCCTCAGCTGCTGCAGTGCTGTCCCAATTTCCTTCCCAGACGACACCCCCATCTTCCTCAGGTCGTGGCCACTGACAGGGAAGGAGGGCACAGTCCATTCCTGCATTTCTTTCAAGAGCTGCTCCTCTCCTTGGTACTTCAGCAGCTCAAAGATCTTGGAGATGGTGTTAGCTTCCCTAGACTAGGAGAAAAAAAGGAAAAAAAAAATAGAGGGTTCAGTGTGAAATAGCAGAAACAGCTCCAAGTGTGCTCAGCACTGTGCTATTCCCATTGCTCCTTGTCAGGCAAGCTCTTGGACAAGCTGGGACTATGGGAGCAAGGCTCTGTCCTGCCTCTCAGGAGTTAAAATCGAGTCTTGCAGGCTCTGGGAGAACCTTGGAGACTCCCTGAATCCCAGGTAATAAACAGCTGTAATCCTTCCATCACCTTTCCTGTGGCACACAGGCCTGGCCCTGGGCACTGGTTTTTGCCCTCAGTCTCAGGTGCTGCTCTACAAGTGCAGAATTCACCTGGAAATGACTTCACCTTGCTGTGGAACAACATCCCAGGCTGCCTGGAAGGAACACCAGGAACTGCACTGATTCTCCATTCACAATTCAGAGCTGCATTTCACAGAAAAAAACCCAAATTTTTGAAGTCCAACTCCTCTTTCATATTTCAATAGGACAGCACAGCAAACTGCCAGTGCAAGGTAAGGTCACAAGAAATAGAATGTGACATTTTTCAGCCTGACTGACTTGTAAGTCAGTCCAAAAATTGTTTCAGAGCACAGGGTACTCAGAACTGCTAAAATACAGTAGAGGTTTGTTTTTTTAGAAATGTCTTTAAATCAATTCAGTTCACTGTGAAGCCCCACATGAAACCATCTGAACACTCACATCCATCAGGAAGTCCTGGTATGGTCTAAGTGGTTCTGGCCCCGAGCCTTTGGTTAACTCCTGCCTGTGCTTCACCAAGAAAAGGCCAAGATTTTTTTCCTCCTTGGAGATTTTCAGCCTCAGGTCCAGGTTTGTGACATCATCCTTGCCCTTGAACAAGGATGTCAGCACAGTCATGGGTTTTGGAGACAGGTTTTGGATGTTTTTAGTGACTCTGGCAAATTCTTCTAAACTCCCATCAAGTGGTAGCCCTAAGAACACAAAAAGTGCAAAGAAGTGTTAATAAGACAAATGAGTGTTAGCATAGGATATAAATGAAATAAAATTTCTGTGTAAACTCAAGTTTGATCTCAATTTGCCACAAAATTCTGTCTGTATAAGATACAGGAGTAGGAAATCAAACTTCATTTCACTTTACCTATGTACTGGGCAATATCCACCTCATACATAAGTTGAACCAAATGATTGACATGGTTTCCAAGAAGAATTTTTTTGAGTTCCACCCAAATCCTTTCTCCTGATATTCCAGCCAAGCCTTTGGCATTTTCTTTAATTGCTTGCAGTGTATTAGGTTCATGATCTCCAGGTTTCTCTGCAATTCTTCCATAAAATCTGCCAAAGAAAACTCCTGGATGTTAGATTAGAAAACTGTTCCACTTACAATCATAAAATAATTTAGGTTGGAAAGGAAATATAACAACTATAAGTCTTTTTACATAACTGATGTTTTTTGCATATTTTTGAAACTTTATACAGTTTATTTATGAAGGAAAGGCAAAACTTCTTACCTGAAGTATCTCAGGATTCTTAAATAATCTTCTTGTATTCTCTCAGCTGCCTTCCCCACAAATCTGATTTTCTTGTTTTTCAAGTCTTCATAGCCATTAAAGAAATCATAGAGCGTCCCATCCAAACCTAGAAAATATGAGAAAACAAGAATATGAATTTCCAAACGTGGCTGACACAATGAAACACCCTCATTTGGAAATGTGTGATTTATCAACCGTATTTACACAGACCTTTGACACAGAGACAGAATTCACTGGCAAAACTCAAAAAAATCACTGCTTCATCTATGTAACAGTTAATGAAATTTACCTAAAAACATGGAGTTGACAGTGAGATCTCTCCTCTCAGCATCCTTGTGCCAGTCCGTGGTGAACTCCACCTCTGCGTGCCGTCCATCGGTGACAACATCTATTCGGAGAGTGGTAATTTCAAAATTCTGTTCATGGAGCTGCAAATGCCACAGAAATCGTTACTCAACACAACCAGGAAATGAAATGAAATGAAATGAAATGCATAAGCTGCTCATTTTTTTAGCCCTGTGTTTGGGTACAGTGGGTGGACACATGCACAGCAATGTGTGCAGTGTTTTCATACAGAGTTGAGAAATAGGAACTTCTGAGAATAATCTTGATATTACAGATTTTTTACTGAGCCTGCAGAAATCTTCCTGCAGGAGATGGACTAAGAGCAAGGTAGAGGGAACAAAATTTGAAATCAGGAGCAGGAAACCTTAGGATCATGATTAGGTAGCCAACGTTATTTTTCTGGTGATGACAGCAGCATGAATGGGTTACATGCATTAAAATATGATAATGACTTGAATTCTATACTGAATAATAATAATAAAAAAAAAAATCACTCCAGGTTTTAAAGCAGGGTCTCATTTAAACTTTTGTTGTAATACTTTAACAAATAAGGAGCAAATTTTCTACTGGACATGCTGCCCATCCACAGACTGGTAGAAATGATGAAAACAAATCCCAAACCAACCCTGGCAGTGATGGTTCCGTGCTTTTCTCCTTTGTTATTGATCAGACGAACCCCAGCTGCTGTGAACATTTCCTTCATCTCTGCCGGTGTAGCTGTGGTGGCAAAATCGATGTCCTGTGGTGTCACTCCGCTCAGTAAATCCCTCACAGCCCCTCCTGCTATTCTCAGCTCGTAGTTCTTCTTCTCAAAAAGTTCTGGGAGGGGAAGGAAAACCAAACAGCAGTAAACCCATGGCACAATCAGCCATCAGCTGCCTTCTCACAAAATTAAGATCATATATGTGTCAATAAACACTCAAATATGCAAGAAACAGAAAATGACTCACAGCTTCATGCAACATGCACTAATGGCACAGCTGGGCACCCATAGGTATTTTCCCTATCATTCTGATTTATTTTTCTGAAAGTTTTCTGAAAACCTAACCCTTGGCAGGTCCTGGGGATCACTTTGAACAGTCAGGGGATGACAAGGGGAAAGAATTCAGATTATTTACAGCAGAGCACAGTGAGCCATGAACCCAAATTTCTCCAGGAACAAGAGAGCATCATGGAATGAGCCTCCAAAGGGGAGAAGGAGCTCTGAGTGTCCCTGGAGACCGGCTGAGCGTGTTCGGCATGGAGAAAGCTCTGGGAGCAGAAAAATCCTCGGGGAGACTTTTTACCAGGGCATGGAGTGACAGGACAGGGGGAAAGGGCAGTCAGGTGAGGGAGGGTGGGCTCAGGGGTGAGGTTTCCCTGGAAGGGTGAGAATTCCGGGCTGGGATTCCCAGAGCAGCCGTGGCTGCCCCTGGATCGCTGGCAGTGCCCAAGGCCAGGCCGGGTACTGGGGCTGGAGCACCTGGGGCAGTGGGAGGTGTCCCTGGATGGGTTTTGCTGTCCCTCCCAAGCCGAACCATCCCGAACCCTGCACCCAGGGCCATTTTCCGGGCCTGCCCTCCCCACACTCACCGGCCACGCTGCGCAGCCCCGGCGTGAAGAGCGCCTGGAACTGCGGCGCCTGCAGCCTCATGGTGCCGGTACCGCTACCGGTGCCGGTCCCGCCGTGCCGCCGCCGCAGCAGCCGCAGCCCGGCCCTGCGGGGCACAACCAAGAGCTCAGCCCACATGTGCGGCACGGCCGCTCCGCCGCCCGGCCCCGCCGCCCCGCACTCACCACACGCGGCGGGGCCCAGCTCCGGGATCGGCGGCGCCGGGCGATGAGCTCAGAGCAGCGCCGGCCCGGAGGAGGCTCCGCCTTCGGGCCGAGCTCCAAGAGCGGCTCCGCCTTCGGGCCGGGCTCTGTGAGCAGCTCCACCTTCGGGCCGAGCTCCAAGAGCGGCTCCGCCTTCGGGCTGAGCTCCGGGGAGCGGCTCCGCCTTCGGGCCGGGCTCTGTGAGCAGCTCCACCTTCGGGCCGGGCTCGGGGAGCGGCTCCGCCTTCGGGCTGAGCTCCGCTCCGTCCTCGCTCCGTCCCCGCTCCGTCCCCGCCTTCGCTCGGCCCGCAGTGGTTTATTAAAAACTTCACAGAATTCACCGTCAAGATCATCGAGTCCAACCCATGCCTTCACACTTGAACGAAACCACGGCACCGAGTGCCACATCCAGTCTTTTTTTAAACTCATCCAGGGATGGTGACTCCACCACCTCCCTGGGCAGACCATTCCAGCAGTGCATCACCCTTTCTGTAAAAAACTTTTTCCTACCATCCAGCCTATATTTCCCCTGGCGCAGCTTGAGACTGCGTCCTCTCATTCTGCCAGTGCTGCCTGTAAACAGACCAGCCCCAGGTGAGCACAGCCACCTTTGAGGAGCTGTAGGGAGTGATAAAATCACCTCCTTTTCTCCAGGATAAACAACCCCAGCTCCATCGGTTGCTCCTCACAGGGTTTGTGTTCCAAGCCCCTCCCCAGCCTTGTTGCCCTTCTCTGGATGTGCTCGAGCATCTCAATGTCCTTCCTAAACGGAGAGGCCAGAACTGGACACAGCGCTCCATAAAAGACATAAAAGATTTACCGTGGCTTCATCTCGGTTCAGAGAAAAGGACTTAAAACGGGAAAACGAGCTATAGCAGGAGGAAAAATATGTAGTTTGGTAATGGCAGAATAACTGGGATGGAGTTGATGGGTTTCTTCTCCCCGATGAGAAGGAATTCGGCAGCATTTAAATGCTTGAATCACTGAACTCACAAAGGGATCATTTTGGAAAAGCTCTCTAAGGTCACCAAGTTCAGCTGCTCCCCAACACTGCCAGCCTCACCACCAAACCCTGTCCCCAAGTGTCACATCCACACAGCTTTAAATCTCCCCTGCCCCAAAACCCCATCCTGTCCTGGGGAGCAGATATCAGTGATATGAGTGATAATTGATTATTTACAGCTATTAATGTGCACTTGATAATATTTAAATGCAGCTGAGATCTTGCCCACATTGAATTACACCCATTTGCACCAATTTGGAAGGAGCTTTAATTGCATCCTGAGCCCCAAAGCACTCGCCCCTCCAAGCTTGTGTCACCTGCATATTAATAATGTGGATTCCAGGTTGTTAATGAGGGTGAGTTATTAGCTGCCTTCTCCTCCTTCCTGTAACTCCATCACATATGGCTCCACTTTCTGCAGGGTCTTCCCTTGGGTTCTCTCTCCTGTTTGTGAGTCTGCTTTGCCATCATAGAGTCATGGAATGGGTTGGGCTGGAAGGAACCTGAAAGACCATGGGGCAGGGACACTTTCCACGAGCCCCATCCAACCCTGAACACTTCCAGGGCTGGGGCATCCACATCTTCTCTGGGCAGTACAGAAGTTACCTGACCCTTGGGATCACAGCTCCAAGCTCTCAGCACAATATTAGGAAGCTGGTTTTGCCCAAAATGATGGTGTCTGCATGGCCAGAGCTTTGGACAAGATGGCATTTAAAAAAAAAAAAAAAAAAAGGACAAAACATGCACAGTTTTCCAGCAATGCCTGGGTTTGATTTTTTAGGGGAAGAACAAATTGGGATATCAGCAGTGTGACCGTGGGTTATTTCTTTGCAGTCAGTCATCACATTCCTGCTGTTGAGAAGTCATCAGAGAACTCTCAGATCATTGTGTATAATTAATGCTCAATAAATAAAATAAACCCATTTCTGGGCTGGCCTGTGCCTCTATGGAGCCTTCCACCCTGTGGTTAAATCCCCCAGTTCCCTTTTTCAAGGCGTGCTTATCTCAGTTGTCCTCTGCCATCTCTTGTGAGGCAGCAGCCCTGCTGGCACATGAAAGGCAGCAGGTTTAGAGGAAACCCCCAGGGAGAGCACCCCGAGGATGGGGAGCACACAGCCCCAGCCCTTCACAGCACTCTGACATGCCCAGGTAACCCCCAGGTGTGTGCTGTGCTTCGGGTCTGCCTCGTGCTTGCTTTGAAGGCTGCAAAGGTTCTGCTTTTTGAGGTCAGTTTGCACAGGGAAAAGCTCCTGGAATCTGCTGCTTCTTCCTTGCTTGGGAGGTATTGGGATATATCAATATAAGGGATATTGGGACACATCAATATAAGGGATAAAATCATTACTTTTAGGAGGCTTTTTTTTTTGTTCTTTGGATTTCTGTTGTCCCTTCTGAGAGGAATATATTCCTTGCACAAAGGGAAAATCCCCTTTACCCTCTGCTTATTATTTATGTAGCCAAAACATAATCCAAACTTTGTCCTGAAAACTTACCATATCTATTTTTGTGAGGAGCACAATCCTCTTGTAGCCTTCTAGTTACCATCTTTTACTTGCATACATTTATTTTGCTTCTCTTTTCAGCAATTTCTCCCGTCACACAGGGTATCAGAGACTGCAGTTTGTTCTCAGGGGTTGTGGTCTTACAGGTGCAGCTTCCAAAAGCTCTGCTTTCAATCTCAGTCTGGCAGCAAGAAAAAGAAAAATAGCATTTTGGAAAACAAAGCAAGAAAAAAAAATAAACTGAACAGAACAGGGTAATAACTTAGGACTCATCATCAGAGTTACAGTAACATTTTAAATCCAGTTTCAGGTCAGTAACATGCTGCACAGAAAATGTAAGATCTAACACATGCATGCTTTTAGGAAGCAAAAAAAAAAAAAAAATTAGGATATTTTTGAAAGTATAGGAAAAAGAAAAATCAAACCCTTAACTTTTGGTGTACAAATAAAAAAAAATTAAAAATCCCCAGGTAGCCAAACCCACTTTAAATAAACCCAAGGGAGAGTCAGCTGTTGTAGTTATGAGGATGCCCAAAACCAACACACTGACATTATTCAATCCAATGTCAATCCTAAGCACTTGCAGAACATGAGGCTTTTAAATTTTTTTTTAAATAATGTACTGAATTCATTGGGGTTTTTTTAAGAAAAAAAAAAAGAATGAATGCTCTCAGCAGTGCAACTAATGAAGCTTCTTTCCCAAAGTTGCTTTTTATTTTCATGGGTGTGAACATAATGAATTTTTACTTCTAAACAGAGAGAAAAGTTATTAGAGTATTTAATTGTCTCATCAGGTAAATGAAAAGATGTTTCTTGAAGCAGCAAAGGAAACCTGATGCCAGTAATTTGTGCAGGCAGAAATGTGTGCTGTAAAGAATATTTGTCCCATTGTCTGTGATTTGCTACATTTTGGGAGAACCAAAATGCCTGGCCAGGATGTCATTCCATAACCCAATGTACACAAAATCAAACCCTGGCTCCCCAAGAATAATCCATTAGCAAACTCCCGAGTTTTCAGCTGGCCTTGTGCACATTTGGGCTGTCAGGAAAGCAGAGAGGCACAAAAATGTGAATATAGATAATGAGGGGACTTGGACATTAAAAACACACTCTACTGTAGATGATGTGTCATTTTAATGAACTCAGCACTCAGACTGCATTTTGAAAAATAGTTACTGTACAGCAGAATTATTCCAACTGTGATCAGTGGGAGTGCTTCCAGTCCCTGGGTTATTCCTGCTCATTACCATTGGAAAATATTATGTTTGCCATGTGAGCAATTGCTGTAGTGCCCCAGGGAGGGTGCTGAGATTGGGCTGGGAGGGTGCATTTCTCTTCAGTAAGAACATTTTGGAAAGCTGCTGTTCTGAATGCCCATATTTATATGAGGTTATGCATGAATGATTACAGTGAGATTTTTACTTTTTTTTTCTCCCAGTAATTCATGGAACAATCCATAGGAAAATGCTGGGTTTAAGCATTAAAAATTGTTGTTCATTTGAATTAGAAACAAACAAAGCAGTTTCTCTTACACCCAATAATTAACGGTGGAGAATTAGCCTTGAGGTGAGCAGTGACTGTGTCTGGAGAACTTTATTAGAGGAGTAACTAGAAAGTAAATCCCAGTAAGCAGCTTTTTTATATAGAGTAGGAGCTAAAAATATGGTTATTTCTGTTCTTGGTGGAAATGGGACTCTCCCCAAAGCCAGTGTACATGAACCTGCCTCACTTTCCATGGAGAAATGTTCTAATTCCATGGATGCTCTGAACATCCCCACGTGCAGGTTTGAAACCAGCAGCTTTTCAAAGGGAGCAAGATGAAATGTGCTTGGTGCTGTATTAGATTTAGGTCCCACAAGAAGCATTTTCCTGCAAGAAAAGAAGAGTTCATCCCTGGAAGGCAGCAGTGTCACTCCTTCGATCCTGAGGACAGATCATGATCCATGGTTTGGGTGTTTAACCCTTGGGCTCCTGTTCATTTTTAGCTCCTGTACAATGGTGTGCTGATGCCTGGCTGTTCCCATCCACCACCCAGAGATGTTGGCCAGTGGGATGCGAGTTTTCCTGCTCCTCCTTTGGACAACAAACACACCTCAGGGTGCAGGAGGTGAGGAGAGGAGCTGTGGTGGGTGCCCAAGGTCCCTCTTTGTGCTGGGCACTGTTCTACACGTGGATAAAGCAGTCCCTGGCCACGGCTCTGCTGCTTCCTGGGACTGCTCCCTGTCCCAAATCCCCAAATTGTTCCCTCAGTTGGTGCCTGCTTTGCTTTGGGAGGAAAGAATCTCGAGTCATGGAGACACAACTTGTACTGGGGTTTTCTGAGTCTTTATGGGGCAGTTTTCCTACTGCAATGTGTGTGCCTGAAAACTGAACTCCTGCCCATCAAAGGCTGGAATCACAGGAAGAAGAGAAGTGGGGGCTGGTCATGGAATTCCAGGGTGGTTTGGGTTGGGAGGGACCTTAAAGCCCATCCAGTGCCACCCTGCCATGGGCAGGGACACCTCCCAGGGGTGCTGATGGCCCTCAACTGCCTCGGGTTTGGCAAATAAGGGAGGGCAGGCTCTGAAGAACTGGAGGGGAGCAGATTGATTATTTCACTGCCCTGCTATTTATATGCTAACATTTCCCCCAGCATGAGATCCTCCTCATTTCCATGGGAGCTCCAGGAATCCTTCTTGCCCTGTCATTTTAAATTATCGTTCCCATCCTTTTATGTTTTCTTCCATTTGTGCTTAATTCCTCTGTTCATCATTTTGGTTCTACTCTCACATGTAACTTCTTGTGGCTGTCAACCTTCCTGTTGAAAGCCCCCCACGTTGCCCTCTCCTGCAAGCTGGTGTGGGTGAGAATTGTTCATGCAGTTCATCACTCCAGCAGCCCCGTTTCTTATGTGTCTCTCTGACAATGAGGACCAAGATGAAAACTCTAATTAACAAGCCAAATGTAATATATCATTGTAATTTTCAACTCGAAATGGTTGTAAAAATTTCATTTCTTAAGATAAGTTTTAATAAACTCTTATTTGATGGGGTTTTAGTTATTTAAAGGTTTTTTTTTTTTGTCAAATATTAGCAATATTTGACAAGGAGCTGTTGAAAGAATATAATATTGAAATGAAACGATTTGCTTGTACTGCTCACTGCTTGCAAAGAGGTATTGCTCTAAACAATTCAGTGGATTGGACATTGATGGATATTTCTGTTTTCTCCCTCCCAGTTCAGGTTTTGCCACCTGTTAACTTCACCCTCACAGTCTCTGCATTAGCACAGGTGCTGTTACACTGGGAGCCAAACCCTGCTCAGCAACAAAACAACTCCACCATTAGATACGATGTGAAAATCCTGAGCCCTGTGCCAGAAGAGGTAAGAGAAAAAACAAATCAAGGATCCTAAGAAGGCTCAATCCCTGCTGTTCTCTTTTATCTAAACACATATTTTGGGAAGTGCAGAGATTCCCTCTCAGCCATCCTTATGGACACAGCTCTGCTGGGACGAGCCTTGGGAATTGCAGTGTTCATATTGAGGGGAGGATGGATTTAAGTACTGGCTCCCCATTCAGTTCAACTCACTGAACTCTCCCCAATGTCTGGCTCAGTCTTTGCAGGTCCCTTATTTTGCCTCCCATGCCCTGTGGTGTTTATTTGACATTTTTTATTTCAAGTATGACACCAAGAGGACTCGCAGTGTCCGAACAGCAGCGCTGCACGACGGCTTCATCGCACGAGTGAGGACCCTGCTGCTCCAGGGCCACCTCCAGATGGGCAGTGACTGGGTGGAGGGAAACCTCCCACCCCTGCCAGGTGAGGAAACCCAGGGGAGGGATGGATCCTGTGTTCTGGAACCCAGGGAAAGGCTGGATGTTGTGTTCTGAAATCCAGAGAAGGGCTGGATGTTGTGTTCTGAAATCCAGAGAAAAGCTGGATGTTGTGTTCTGCCCCAATCTATGCACTAAACATTAAAAAGTGATTGGTTTAATTCTTTAAAATAAAAATACAGCGTTTTCCACTCTACCTGCTACAAAAGGATTTAGTCCAGACCTTTCCCTGCTGCAGTGGAGCCTGGAGTGCAATCTGGAGGTGCAAAGTGTCAATGACACCTATAAAATATTCTAACAATGCCCTGCTGAGGCTGAGTTAACCCAGCGTGGTTCACCTGAGGACATTGGTGCCGTGTTCCACATGAATTAAGTGGGGCTGTGTGATCTTTTCTCACCCAGCTCAGGACCCTGCATCCTCCCCCAGCCCCAGACTGCGTGACAAGGGAGAGAACCGATGCCCCAGACACGGCTGAAACGGCCCAAACTGGAATCCAGGTGTTTCAGCGACAGGAACTCCTTATGATCCTTGCAGTGAGGGTTTTTTTTTATCCCTGCTCTGACATTGCTCGTCTCTCCAGGTGCTGCAGACACCTCTGCCACCAACGTGTCGTGTGTCACCCGTGTCACCAGCCCTGGCAATGTCTCTCTCCACTGCACTTGGCTCCCCGGCCAAGGGGCACCAGAAGACACCAAATACTTTCTGTTTTACAGGTTGGTGTTTGCTCCTTTTGCAGCCAGCGCTGAATTTCTCTAAGAGGACCGTGTCTCACCAGCATTTTAATTTAGGTATGAGGCACACACGGAGGAATGTGCCACCTACACCAAAGACAAGAGGAGCGGGAATACCGAGTGCAGATTTGCGAGTACTCAGATTAAACCCGATGAGATTGACAACCTCATTGTCATTCACATTAATGGCTCCAGCCGACGTGCTGCAATCAAGCCTTTCCAGCAGTTATTTAACCAAAATGCCATCGGTGAGTGGGAATACATTAAAAAAAAAAAAAAAAAACCACATGAAAAATGTCTAGCAGGATTGTCAAAATGTGAGGAAAATTCTGTTGGATTGATGGGTTCTTGATGCAGGTGAAAAGATGTGTTGATTTTGTAGTCATTTTAAGGAAATTGTAAGAAATAACCGGATTGTTTTAGCTAAATTTGATTTTAATCATCTCTTTTAAATAATAGAATGACAAAACTAAAAGCTGGTAAAGGCAATTAGTTGTTCTGTTTGTTAGCCAAAGCATTATGCCCAATATTAATTTTCGGTTGATTTAGTCAATCTACTTTAAAACACAATTTTTATTACCCTTAATTTTCACCCTCACTTTAAAAGGAGGAAGACATGGAGTGTTCGAGTTAACCCTTCCTGTAAAGGAAGGCAGTAGAATATGGAATAAAATGATTGTCTATCATCCTTCATCCACACAAATAATTTACATTCCCTCATTAATTCCATACCTTTTTCTCTTTGGTAAACAGATAACATATCTCTTTTTTCATGACTTCACTAAGAGAAAAAGAAAATCACATATCTTTTTCTTAGAAATCATACCCATAACAGCAGCTGAATTCCTTTGAATTTTTCCCATTTTTCAATAACTTTCTTGGCTAAATCTGCATTTTCTTTTTCCTGAAAATTAAGTTTTTCTAACTGTTCTATCATTAATTTAATACTTCTCTGGAAATTCATTTAATAAATTCCTCTTTCCTCAGTAATCTAATTTTCCCAAAACTTTTAAGTGGATTTTCCAAACTATTTTCCTCTAACTATTACCAGCAATGTAGTTATTCCTCCTAAATCCTTATCTTTTCAGTCCAAAAAGGGAAATAAATTCAATAATTATAGGTCCTAGTTGGAAACACTATCAGCCTATAAAATGCTCCAGTTTTTAGTATTTAAACTTGTCTCTATAAATAACTCACCAGTACAGTTTTCTTCTTGCAGAGAAAGTGAATATTCCCAGAAACATCAGCATATCCCTGGAGCAAAATGATCTCCTGGCCACGTGGGAGAAGCCAATTTCTCCTTTCCATGAGGAATGTTTTGAATATGAATTTTATCTCATCAACCTGAAGTCAGGTAACAAGCAGGTAATTGCTCCTGCAGCATCCAAAATGATCCAACATTCCTGTCCTCTACAGCTGGAATTTCCTTCTTTTTCTCAATGCCTTTTATATCTGCAACCAACCATCCCCAAGGAACTTGGGAAAGCAGGACAAAATTGGATTTATTCAGTTGATGCATCTGGGTTCAGAACAGTTTTTACCATCCTGAAAATGTTGCATTGAGAATCTGGAGGAAGAATGGAAAAAATGAGGAATTTTCCAGGGATTTTTCCCTGGAATATTGGTGTGCTAGGAGAAGTTACTCCTATAAAAATGGAGCTCTTGCCTCCAAAGTAAGGCCAGCAGCTCACAGTTAATAAAAACAATAACAAGAGAAACGTGGTTTAAATTTGTTTTCTGAATGGTTGGGACTCAATCTCTTAACAGCACAAATTGGTTTTGTGACAGATCCTGAAAATCTCCTCCAACAGCTTCCAGCTCCAGGTGGATGGCAGCAGCAGATATTCCATAAGGATCAGGGCCAACCACAACCACATCTGTCGTGCCAGAGGCTTCTGGAGTGACTGGAGTGAAATTATTTATGTTGGTAAGAATTCCCATTTTTCCATTGCCTTACAGGAGCATGTGCAACATCCTGGAATTCTAACAGGAAAACTGGGATTTGAAGGAAAAACCTGACTTGTTAATGGCAAGGGAGTTTAAATCCATTCCATTAAAAATAAATTGCTTGCAAGAGGATTGGTTTTAGGCAATGCTTTGTGGATATTTCCAGAGATTGTTGTAAATTCAAGGCCTTTTCTTGCATATTTTCATTTTTTTTTTCAGATGTTTCCCTGCCCTCATTGTGATGTTCATGCTGGAAATAAATATGAGAGACCATGTCAACCATTAATTATCTCACCCCTTCAATGCTGAGGGGAAAAAAAAAAAAAAAAGCATAAAAAGATTTTAGCATCTTTTTGTCATCTCCTTTGCTGGGGAGCAAATGATACCTAATCAGGAGCGTGCCCAACATCACAGAATTTTAATAGAAAATAGGCAAACAGGGCTTTGAATTTAATTTACTGAAATTATCTCACCCCTTAAATGTTAGGGGGAAAAAAGAACATGATTTTAGCATCTTTGGAGCCTGATCATTTGCCTCGCTGTGTTTTGTATTTCCTCCTTGCTGAACAAGATGTTCTGGAAATAACAGTTCCTTTATCACTGCACGTTATCAACTGTTTGTGCTTAGACATCCTCCTTTGCTCTTATCTTTGGAGTTTCTTAACTTCCTTATTTTCACCTAAAAAAAATACTCTGTTACACTCTCCTGTTTACTGCATCTCCCCTCTTGTATCATGAATTCAAATTTTCAGTGTTTTGCCTCCTTTCTTCAACACCTCCCATTGACCTCCCAACCTGGCTGGCACAGCAAACGTGGAAAATTCATTCTGATGGCAAAACAAATTGGATCTTCCCAAAAAATGTATTTAAATCTCAGCAATATCTAAAGACAGGGCCACTTAATTCAGTTTTTTCTCATTGGAAAGGAGTTTTCCTTTCCTTTCTCTCAACCACTTTTCTCTCCTTTACATTGAAATAAAAGAAAATTATTGTTGAAATCAGAAATTCAGTGCCATGGAAACTCTTCTTGAAGCTCTGCATTTTGTTTCTTATTCTAGGTATCAAGTCTTCAAAATCTGCATGTTAATTTGTGATCTGAATACAACCACATCAAACAGCTGATGAAAGTTACAGTTTTAAAATTCTAAACACACTTCAAATAATCTGTATTAAAATAATACATTTAATTTCTTTTTTTTTTTTTCCCTTGATATTCAGGGCAAAATAAACTGGAGAATTCCATAGCCTGGATTCTCACTCTGCTTTGTGTGTCCATGTCCTGCACATTGCTGCTTGTTGCTGTAATATGCAAAACGTGAGTATTACCACTTTTTTTTTTTTTTATTACAATATAACTCAGGACTGGGTATTCAACAAGTCTGGGGGAATGTCACAAGCTTTTGCTTAATTCTGAGAAAAAGCTGATTTTGCCTAAATATACAAAGCAAAAATTATCAGCCTCATATATTATTAGTAATAACATTCAGCAGCATGGGTGGGGTAAGAGATTCATTCAATTTAATCTTATACAACAAACCCATATATTGAGTGAGGTGAATTTGTTAAATTTTGTTAAAAATCTGTTTGTCCTTTTCTCATTTCTTCACTTAAAAGCACCTGATGGGATCAGTGATTTCCCCAGGAATCTTCATTTATCCCTGGTGAAAGCTGCTCAGGGCATCCCTCATGGCTAAAATACCCAGACCCCTGATGTCTGCTTTGAGTATTTGAAATATTGAATTTCTTTTTAATTACACAGAGGCTCTGGATGCTATCTAGTAAAGGCCAAAACTCCCCAAATGTGCAGTGAGGAAGCCCAGCTACACTTTGGATTTGTGTGTGTGACAGCCAAATCATAAGTGATTAAAGGATCCATGTAATTAAAAGTTTCTCCCTGAAACATGCAGCAATTACCAGTCCACAATAAACACAGCTCCCCTTAATGGAAGTGCTAATTCCTTATTAATTTCTTTAGTGCCTTTTTATTTAGTGGTCATCCTGATGCATCCTTGGCTGTTTTCCTCTCTGTGCTGTGTTTCCTTTATCCAATAAAGGGTTTGTGTGCAGGGATGTTCTGGGATAACTGGGATGAGCTCTGGTGTGAACTGGGATGAGTATAAAATTCCCCAACACCCAAAGGTTCATTACTTTCTCTCTTTGCCAACATGATGAAAATTTTACCTCTCTGCTACACTGAATTTCGTGGAGCTGCTCCCCTTATTCCACCATTCCCTGCTGCTCCTTCTGTAATCCTCAGCCCGCCCTGGGAGGATGGAGAAGTGCAAGAAGATGAAACACAGGGTTGTACCTACAGATATTAAAAAAAGAAAAATCGAGCAGGTTTCCTAGATCACAGTTTCATTAGTACTCTCTGTTTTTACTGCTCTTGAAAATTCATGAAGTGCACTCTGCAATTCAAGCCACGGAATCGTTTCAAATTTCATGCGATTTGCAGCCATTATAAGGAATTTCATTACAGCAAAGAGCTCTATAAATTTTTTCTGTGTACTTGCAGGCATCAGGGATAAAGCTCACCATGTGGGGGGAGTGCTGCAAGGCAAAGGGTCCCTCTGGGACTGCTCGGGCAGGCTTTTCCCTTCACTCACTTGCAGAGACTGATGGGGTTAGAATCATGATAAAAACCACAATTGAACCATCTCCTGGTTTGCTGTCTGCCTTCAGGAGTCAGCAGCTTCTGTCCTTCCCTAGGAATAACATTTTCTCCTGGAGGTGAGCCCACAGGAGGTTGGGGTCAGTAATTTGTTCCCCTTAGCTGGCATGGGGACACTCAGTGCCCTCCACACCCCAAAATCAGTGAGGTCATCCAGGGACCCCCCCCCTCTTCTACACCCATCAGCAGTCCCAGCTTTGGGAAAACTCCACAGGGAATCTCAGGGGAGGCACTCTGACACTGAGCTAAAACCAATACTTACCCAATCTCATCACAGAGCAAAGAGAGCTGCTTCTCCTGCTGAGTTCTCTTTATTTATCTCTGGCTTTTTCATGTCACAGCCTGTGGAAAGAGCGGGAATTTCAGAAAGACAGACACAGCACAAAACCTGGAGAGCCTGAAATGCTGATTTAAGGCACAAGGGGTGTGTCCAAGGCCTGAAAGTCCAATCAGTGATAATGGGAAAAGGCTGTGCCTTAACCTGTGTAGAGACAGAGATACCTGGGATGCTTTTTGTGACAAGATCTTCAATGACATAAATCCCATTTTTCAGTAACCTCCAAAAAAAGAGCAGAACCATTCTGAGGGCACCACCCCAGCAACTCCTCCCTGCAAGGACCTGAGGGGCAAAGCAGCCCCCATGGACAAACTTCTGCCTCATTTCTTGTGGGCATTTGTGCACCCTTCCTTAAGTGCTCCCCTTCCAGAAGTGACGTGGGATTTATACTTTTTGCTGCCTCAATAAATAATTTTGATATGGCTCCATCAAAATCTTCTATTGGCAAGCAGCACGATGAGGAACACGCCAGTTCCAAATAGAACCAGCTCTTGTTGGGTTCTTTGCTCAGCAGTGGCATAAATGAGAGCTGAAATGAGCTGCAGGTGGAATGATGGGGCTTTTGATCAGTTTGTGAGAGCTGGTGAAGTGTAGGAGCTGTGAAGACAGCAGTGCAAAGCTTCCCTGGGTAAGGGCACAAAGGCCTGACCTTTAGGAGGAGAGCTGGGAAGAGTGGAGATGATGGAGGTGATGCCAGGTGCTGCAGGGACAATATTGGCACTCATCCTGCCCCACTCCTGAGCTCCAGCAGCCACTTTCCTGTCCCAGCCCAGTGCTGGGGAGCAAACAACCTGGCTGCTCCTTTGCACTCATCAGTGGCTCTGCTGTGCCCAGCATTTCAACCAAAAAAAAAAATGAAAATATTTCTCCCAAAACACCCCTCACCCTGTTTTCCCTGCCCATATTCCCATTTGTGGTTGTACAATTCCCTCACAAAGCCTCATCCCCAAGCAGAGGGGAGGCACTGTGGGGTGAGCAGAGTTCCCTTCCCCTGCTGATTAGTGAAGCATCAATGTCACCTTCAAATCAGCAGCAGCTCAGCCAGGAAGGTTCAGCTCCGAGCTGATAGACAGGAAATATTATTCCTCCTCACCAGGAGAATAGTTATAGGATAAAGGTAAACTTGACAGAACTCAGAAAGCTTCTGGAAGAAGAATAGTCCTAAGAACATGAGCACTAAGAGCTAAGCAGGCATCAGCCAGGGGCATTGTCACCAAATCAAGGGGACAGAGGAGCAGACCTGCCCTTGGTCCCCACACCCTGAACACGTCTCTGCTTCCCCCAGAACAGACCCTGGATACCGATTCTGGGCTGAGCAGCCTTCCCCCAGGTCAAGTTCCCATTAAAACCTGTCCCTTTTGGACATGGTGCTGTCCATTGCTGGAGTGTTTTGGCACCTGGGATGTGAGGTCTGAGCTCTGGCGTGTATCAAAGAGAAGGAAAAGTTCCCTGTGCAGCACCTGGCATCACAAAAACCCCTGTGCTGTGAGCCCAGCCAGCCCAGGCAGTGCCAGGCAGGGAAGGGAGGTCTCAGGGTGAGTTATTACAGCACTGAGCAGAACCATTTGCTTCCAGCCATCCCTGGTGCCTTCCCCTGCCTGCTCCCAGCTCCCAAGGCACACAATTATTTGTGGTAGCTCTCCTTCAACGAGGCACTGGCAGTTTATGTCCAGAAAGCAAAGGCTGAGCACGAGGCACTTGTCTTGGCTGTCCAAACGAGGAACATGACAGCAGAGCCCTGGGGAAGAGCAGGAGCATGAACAGAGCAGCTCAGAGCAATTCATTTCTCTGCAGACAGCCCAAAAACCCTGGAGCTGGTTGGGATGCACAGGGAGAGGCTGGGGACAGCCTCACCCCCTGCTCCTTGTCACCTGCCTGTCCCCAGGGCCCAGAGGTGTCCTGTGAGGAGCAGCACACTGCCCAGCCCCAGTGCTGCCTGGAAAGGCTGAGCTGGAACAGAGACCAGGCAGAGCAAAAGGAATAAAATAGGAGTTTATTGAAAAGATAAAATAGGGATTTATTGAAATGATAAAATAGGAATTTATTGGAAGGGTTCACCTTGGGCAGTGCAAGAGCCTGGCCAGGGCTGCACCCAAATCAAATCCCAGATGGATCCTGGTCACGAGTTTTACACTTTGATAAGTTTTGGTTCATCTTGGGGTCAATGATCCACTCACAGCCCCAGGCTGTGAAGTCTCAGCCCCCTGGTTTGCCCCCTTCCTTTTGCCATCGTTTCTGCTTTTTGGGTCCCAGTTGTCCTTGATTCTCTGCCTAGAAAGGAATTGTTTTGTCACCACCCTGTGAATAGAACTCACTCACACCTGACATGAAGTTCCAGAGTTACACACTAAGCAGCAGAGATTCTGAAGAATAGAAAAGCTAAAACCCAAGGCATCACCAGTGGGGACCATCATCCCTGACTGGATGTGCTGCAGGCAGACCTGGCAGCTCCTGGGGCTGAGCAGTGCTGCTGCTTGATTTATTTCTCTGGGTCCCTCATTCCCCAGAACAGCAACTCTCTCACATCCCTCCACTGCTGTTTCTTACAGAAACCACGTTTGGAGTAAACTGTTCCCACCGATCCCAACCCCCAGCAACAAATTCAGAGACCCTTTCCCAATTGAGTACGAGGTAAAATAACATTTTATTTTATTTTATTTTATTTTATTTTATTTTATTTTATTTTATTTTATTTTATTTTATTTATTTTATTTTATTATTTTTATTTTGTTTTATTTTATTTTATTTTGTTTTATTTTTATTTTATTTTGTCGTGATTTGTTTTGTTTTTAACTAAAATGAATGCTTGTGTTTATGTGCTGCTTTTTCACTGTAAGGCTGAAGAGCAAAGAGAGTCATAGAATCATTAAATCTCAAAAAGATCTCCAAGACCATTAAGTCCAACCCCATGCCCACTAAATAAATGGAGTTTAGCAATTCCTGAGGCTGTTTTTGCCATCCTCACTGCTGTGGTAGATTCTCACCTCGCTTCCTTTGCCCGGGACAGGTCCCAGTCTGCAGCTCTGGATCTGCCTTTGTTTGCAGATGTTTTGTTTTGGGAAGGGTTAAAAATGAACACAAGGATTAAGTGCTATTGCCGAGTGCTTTGTTCATATACACTGAATTTCGGGCACACCTGTGGCTCTGCCTTCTGCAGAAATGCAGTTTCTCCCCAGCCCAGCAGAGAGCTCTGCCTTGGCAGACACTGCACGGTGACTCCTGGAGAGCTGATTTTGTTCAGATTAACAATTCCAAATGTTTTGCTCCTACTGTTAAGCTGGACTTAAGCCTTTCTACGTTTGCTGTTAATTCTGATAAATACATTTATCTTACAGATAAGATAAACCCCTCGTTTTCTGCTCAGGGGAAGGGCTGCTCAGCAATTTGATTTCCATTTGTCCCCTTGGAACAGGGGTTTGATTTTTTTGCATATTGTTCTTACTCCGTGGTCTGGTGGAGGAAACAGGCTTAAAAGATGATCACAGAATGTTTGTTTTTAATTAAATGGTGTAAAATACCACGACTTGGGTCATGGCAACTAAGAACATGAGAAACAGCGAATATTAATGCTGCAGCTAGAAAATGTGATCTTGCAGAGGCAGGTTCACATTGTCAGAAGCAGCTCTGCCTTGTTTTAGTCTCTCTCCTCAAAGTGAGCTGGCCATGGTAGGTGACAGCAGCCAGAGGCTTTCTGCTGGCACCACAGCCACCAGGCTGGTGGCACTGGCAGGGAGAGGTGAGGACATCCCCCAGGTCCCTGCCGAGGTCACCAGGGAGAGGGGAGATGTTTGCTGGGGACACTGAGTTCCTACATTTGGTGTAAACAGGGCTGAGGTGATGAAAGCCCTGCACGGTGGTGGCCCGTGGGAACCTGCTGGTCCCTGCTGTCACCTGCCACCCTGCAGGGCTTCCCAGCCACTGCTGCTGCCTCCTCCTGCAGCTCAGCAGCCCTGCACATTGTTTGTGCACCTCTGGAAGGATGTTGGGAATTTAGAAAAACTCCTGTGCCTCAAACCCTGATCCCTCACTGAAACAGTGGCCAGGCCCTGGTGGAGTCACCATCCCTGGAAGTGTTCAAAAGCCACTTGGTTTTTGGATGTGACCGTTTTGTGATAGGGTTTTGTGGGTGTGGTGGGATCTGATTGAAGAAGGTTGGACTTGATGATCTTGGAGGTCTTTTCCAGCCTTAATGATTCCATGATTCTGTGCCCTCCAGCTCCTCCTGGGCTCTTTGCCCTTGGCTACAGAGGGGTGGCCACTGTGGTAAAACGTGGCAAATGGGGAATTTTTGGGAGTGCAGGGCTTGAGGGACAGAGGATGAGCAGCTCTGAGAGCTTCAGCCGGAGGGTGAATCCTCCAATGCTTCTGAGCTCCTAAACCATGAAACATTTGGGGTTAATCCCTCTCTAAATGCACCAGTTTGAGCTCTTAACTCTGCCCCAGGCCAAGCCTCCCTCCCAGCTGCCATCCAAGGGCTGTTTGCTTTGCAGAGAGCACGGACCTGCACCAGCTCCACGGGGACCGAGGTGTGCAGCCTGGCTGAAGGGTTCCCCTGCAGTGTCCTCGATGACTCCGTGTTCTGAGAGGCTCCACAGCATCACCCAGCTCTGGAGAGGGCTCTGGGTCACCTCCCTGTGTCCCTGTTCCCAGTGGGGAGGAGGATTTGCATCCACCAGGTGCCTTGTTACCAAACAGAAAGCGCCAGCTCAAGCAGGATTTAAGTTCGTGGCATAAGGGGGGAACAAAAAAAGCTTGGAAAAGCTAATGGATTCATTTCTGGTTGGCAGCTTAATCTTTAGGATGTTTGTTTTACCCTGCTCTGACAGCTGGAGATGCAAACTGGGCTTGGCACAGCCCTGTGGATGCAGCAAGGTGGGCCTGGCAGTGACCAAGAGGGACCAAACACTGGGAAAAGAAGATAAAAATGCAGTGTCACTCCCAGTGCTGTCACCCAGTGCTGTCACCCCAGTGCTGTCACCCCAGTGCTGCACAGCAAGGCCACTCACCTGGCCTTTGCTGCTATGCTTTTTAATGAAACTGTGAATTTCCACCTGAAAAACATCCATGGGAATGCAATTCCTGGATCCGGGCAGGTGTGAGTGTGCAGCCAGACCACCCTGTGTGGGGCCTGTGCATGGCCAGTGTCCTCTGCACTGCTCCTGCACCTGACCCTGCTTGGCAAGTGACACAGCATTATTTTGGGATGTAGGGAAGCACCTGGGCTCAGCTCAGCTGGCCAGAGCACGGTGCTGAGCACACCAAGGCTGTGTTTGATCCCTGTAGGCACCACTGGACTCAATCCTTTGGGTCCTGTCCAACTCAGAATATTCTGAGATTCTCTGATCTCCCAGGACTTTACAAAACACCAAAAACTTCTGCATTTTGTAGGTTATTTAAGACAAAAGTTAGTTTGCTTGTGCACCTGATGTCCAGTTAGAGCCTGATACTCCTGTGAGCAAAGCTGCACTGTGCCTGCTCCTTCTGTGCACTCAGGTCCCACATTTCAGTAGAAAACAGAGTTTCACCTGTGTGCTGACACTCCTGAGTGAGGGAATCCTGCTGGCAGGGGTGGGATCCCCTGCCCAGGTGGATCCTTTCCCATCCAAGGCTCTTTTTCAGGCTCTGACATCAGCTGGCAGCATCTGCAGGAGGACAAGGCATTGTTTGTGCTTCCTGCCACGAGAGATTAAAGCTTAAGAGGGGGAAGACAGAAAAAAAAAAACAGAGAAAAATGCAATAAACAGATAAACTTCCTCAATTGCATCAACAAACAAACCAGCCTGGGAACAGAGAGTTTGCAAATGTGAAACCATTAAATAAATGTGCCAAGGACTGCCTGGTGCTCTTGAGTCTGAGAGCTGGGCTCCTCCTGGGTGTGCAACTCCAGTCATTGTGAAAATCCAAGCCCAAAACTGCAGCCTGGGTTTCTTTGCTCTCTGTTGTTCCATCTTAGATGACCCGGGTTTGAGACAGCCTCGGTTTCTGATTTATTTCCCTGTGTTCTGTGATCCACTGAGGGAGTTCCCAAATCAATCTCCTGCCCCAGATCTCAGGCTTTGACCTCCCTGGCTGTGGCCTGTGAAGTCCTCCTGGTCTTGCAGAATTCCTTCTAATTCCAAGAAACCTCCTGTCCATGGAACTGGTTTAAACATGTTAACAATGAATAAAAAGAAAGATTTGATCCAGCCAATAGGTTCTTTGGAAGGTTCCTAAAGAAATGGAGTTCCCAGGTACTACAGAATAAAAATAATTACAATAAATGAGCCAGTTCTCATCTGGGTGAAGTAGCATTGCTCCATCAAAATTAATGTAGCTCATTAATATCACGTTTGTGCCTCCAATGTCTCTCCTGCATGTGCTTTTAATGGATTTGAGGGGCCCAACTTTAACACTCGAAAATCAGAATTTCATTAGCAAAATCCTGAAAATGAGACTAAAGAGAATTCACTTATTGGAATGTATTTTATGTCATGCCTTCAAGTGGCCTAATAAATAATGTTGCTATGTATAAGTCCATTCCCATTAATGGTAAGCTATTGCAGAGATGAATGCAATATATTTTAATATATTTTGCATGTCAGGTCCTTGGTATTTGCAGGATGAGTCCTCTTGGGGCCAGGCTTTTGGAGAGCCAGCAGCCACACCTGTACCCGTGCCAGTAAATAAATCCAACCTGGTGTAAAGCAGGAGTAGCTGCATTTCTCTGCTCACCTTTAGTGCCAGGGGTGTGCTGGGATCTCACATCCTGGAGAGCCAAGGGTGCAGGATGAGGCTGAGCTCTCCTCATGGTCACAATCCCTGGAGCAAAATCTTCATCCCAGGCAGCACAGGGGGAAAAGGAATCTGTGCAGGATCCCAGGCTGCACCCAGGGCTGTGTCAGGTTTTGGCACCACCAGATCTCCAGCCCCTAACTCCCACAGCACAGAATTATTCATTCCTCATTTTTTTTTCCCCTTCAAACCCAGTTCCCAACCCCTTCATTCCTCCTGCCCAGCTCTTCCCTGATACCTCCAGGGCAGCAGCCCCAGGAGCTGCTCCTCTCCTGCCTCTGGAAATGGCAATTTTACTTCTCTTGTTCAAAATGGAATTGTGCTACTGGGCCGGTTTATTTTTGTGCTTGGTTGATTGCAGAGTGCAGCACTGCTCCTTTGAAATGCAGAGAGCATTTCAAGCCCTGCCCTGACAGGATCAGAAATGTGGCTTGGCTGGATTTAGTGGTTCCAAGCCCCAAATGCTCAGGAATGCCCAGGAGAAGCAGAGGCAGTGCCTGAAGGGCTTTGCTCCAGCCCCAGGGTCAGAGATGCTCCACCAGCACCATCCCATGAGCTTGGACAGCTCCCAGCTCTGCAACACAAACCCAAAATTCACCTGCTCACGTTTCGTGGTTGGTTTTGGCAGCAGAATTAGACCAGAGGTGTATAAATAGATCTTTTTTTCTGCCTTCACAAAGGTTTGATTTATACCAACTCTTGTATCTTCACATCAGTGACAGGCTCAGCAGGCTCTGAGGGGAAATTTCTCACTGGGCAGAACAAAAAGTGGAGGAAAAAGGCTCCTGGAAGACAGGTATCTTTACAAATGACAGAATATTTATTACCAATACCTTTAAAAAAAGATTACATCTGCTAGATCACTGATAAATATCATTTACACCGGGGAGAAAACTACAGAAGCTTTTTTTTTTTTTTAAATTTCATTTTTCTTGGTTTTGTGGATTTTTTTTTAAGTTTTTTCTTGTTTTAATTTTTTTTACATAGAAGTAACCATATCAAACTAAGAAAGGAACACAGCTTGAAATACTGACAATATTTCTCTGGTCAACACCCCTGACTTTTACACAAGTGGAATCCTGATTATGAGTTACTGAATAAATATATTTAGAAGGTCTAAAAGTTAACTGTATTATTTTGTAAGCAAAAAAGACAAGTTACAGGCAAATTCAAGCTATCAGGAGAGGAAAAAAAAAAAACAAACCAAAAACCAAAAACCACTGCAGCGCATTGAAAGTTGAAAATTGTATAGAAAATTCCGTTGCCTTTTCCAGCGTTATCCCGTCTGAACTTACAAAATTCCCCGTAGTAACAAACAGTCCTTCTCTTGAGAAGAATTATCCCAGTGTGGATTTTGTCGTTTTCTGGTGTGACTCTGTTCTGCCTCCAGGCCTGTGGGAAGAGTTTCTAAGGAAAGGCAAACTTCCAGCAGGGATCTCTGCAGATTCCCACTTTTCCTCCATTCCCTGGAGCCGGGGCAGCGCCGCTCCCAAGCCTTGTCTGGAGAGTGGAGTTAGCAGGGAAGAGGAGCAGTTGTGTCCCAAAGAACGAGCCCAGAGCAGCTTGCTGTCTCAGAGTGGCTGTGTTCTGATTTTCCTTGGAATTAATCCCCAAACACGAGGAATTTCCTTGGAATGTGATCTCCAAAGGGTTGAGCTGGGTGTGCACCCAAGGCGAGACCGTCCCGTTGTGTCACTGCAGGCAGCTTTGCAGCATCTTCATTTTCCCACCCAATCTGATGCCAATTGTGATCAAGACAAAGCAAATTCCCAGCCCCTCCTCCTCGCTGCACCGTGCTGGGATATTGGCTACGTGTCCTGTAGTCCACAACCAACCAAAACCCACGTGGTTTCCCAAAATTCTGCTCTTCTGTTCTGAGTTTGTCCTGCTCGGAGCTCTGGGTAAAACGTGTGTGAGAAGCACTGGGTCCAACACAGGAGTCGCTGGAAGTGCCAGTGAAACCCAGCCTGTTACAATCTGGGTCTGGATCAGTTCTGCCCTGGAAATCTCTGCAGTCAACTCCAGCCAATTTGCCAAGAACAACTTGGAACTCTCCGTCGGAAAGGAAAAAATCCCAAACAATATTTTCGTGATAATGTCGTCCGTAGCATTTTATAGCAGAGGAAAAAAATTAATATCTACATCATATGTTAACTTTAAAAAATTCTATAAAACACTAAATATATAATAAAAAATATGCATATAAGGACATATGTAAACTGCTTTGGTAACATCATATTACAGATGTTTTCAGTGCATTGCAGAGTTTCCAAGGAAACTTCAGACAAAGCTATATTTGCTTTGAGGAAGTACTGTATAATGCCATTCCTAAAGAAGCATAAACATTTTTTTTTTTTCCAGTAGTAAGATGTACTCAAACCACAATATTACTTAGTACTGGGTGTCTCCAAAACAACTAGCTAAATGTTGCTTATATTATAAAGAAGAAGTCCTCGATGCCATTGTTGTCATAAACTGGAGCGGGCTGTGAGGGAGATCATGATTGTGCTGAGGGCTGACAGGGTGCAGGCGCTGGAGGTCGATGAGCCCGAGCCTCTGGCATAGGCATCTGATAGGGGAGAGAGGGGAAAAGGAGCCACAGGTGAGCAGAGAACAATCCCTGAGCTCTTCCTTAACCCACCTCCCCCGAGGTTTAAATTCCCTTTCCTCAGGTAAAGCACAGCCCCCATGCACAGCCCCCTCCTCTTCTTCACAGTCTGAATTTTTGGTTTCATTTCAATTCCTGCCCCTTGTTGTGCTGAAGCTTCTCTCACAGTTCTATTATTTCCCACGCTGCCTGCTTATCGTTATTTGGTATTTTTTCACCATTTCACCATATTCCTGTTGTTTTGTGTGACTCCCATCCTAGAAGAGCAGTGTACCTGCTCTGTGACCCCTGG